CTGGAGAATTAAACAGCTACAATCAGAAAGAGCTATTAATGCAATCGAAAATTCTAAGGGAGATGTGACTATGGATCCTGAAGAAATAAACGATACCTTTAGACAATTCTATGAAACGTTATACTCCTCAGAATATCCGCCTAATTTGGACTCTCAAACTTCATTTTTAGATAATTTCAAATTCTCAAGTGTCTCAAAGGAAGAAAGAATTAACCTGGATTCTGATTTGACAACGGTGGAAATTATAGAAGCAATTGATGCCATGAATGCCGGCAAAGCAGCTGGTCCTGATGGATTACCATCATCGATATTTATAAGAAATTCAAGAGGAAACTTTTAACTCCAATTATGGAAGTGCTTCAGGAATCCTATAAAAACGGGTCACTCCCTCCCTCATTGAGAGGTGCCATGATCATTTTACTATTAAAACAAAACAAACCAGCCCATGAATGACAATCTTTCCGTCCAATCTCACTTCTAAATTTGGACATTAAAATTCTCTGCAAAGTATTAGCACGTAGATTGGAGTCTGTTCTCCCTGTCATTATATCAAAATGGATTTGTTAAAGGGATACAAGGCTTTCATAACGTATGGAGTGTAAGAGTCGGGAGTCATCCGATAATTTATTCCAAACTTAAATTACTCAGACCTCCTAATTGACCTAACCGAAGTTATTGAGTCTATGTAAGTTTACTGCTTGGCTCAGATCCACCAACGATCAGCAAGATCTCACCTCTATTAACTCCCCGAAGAACCAGGTTCAATTAACTGCTGTTTCAATTCAGACAACCCCCTAAATCTGTTTAAGCAATCCCGAAGGACTTTGATATCAGTAAATGAGGTGTGGCCCTACCTAAGTGTGAGTGTGGCAGTGTGCGATCTTACCTTTCAAGCAGGAGAGGAGAGCGCAGATGTCTTTTAAGTTGTCCCAATCCAAAAGGTGGGATCAGTTTATTTGAAGAAAAATAGGTCCAAACTAATACAGGGTTTTTACCTTCTCTCGTTACAACATTATCATCCTACTAAACCTATCATGCTGTGATCATGTTCTAATATGAAACTTTAATTCACAGTTTTACATTTATTACCAAATTTGTAACTTCAACTGCCCAATTCAGTTGTGACATTTAAAATCTCCCGATAGAATTTAGAGGCATTTCCTCATAAAAGACCGTTGATAATAAAAAGCACATTCAAACTTTCTTTCACCAAATCAGTTCACATCAATTCCATACCAAATTTCCGACACAGGTGGCGGGTACTAACATTCACAAACACATACCTATTTCCCAATCATGCTGGGGGTATTTTACCTTTTTTTCCGCACAGATGGCGGGTATTTTAACCTATTTTCCGCAGATGGCGGGTAGTTTAACCTATTTTCCGCACAGATGGCGGGTAGTTTAACCTATCATCCCAATCATGCTGGGGTTCTTTCTAAAAGCTTAATTCATAGTTTTTTCCCACACATCTCAAGAATGATAGGTCTATGATCCCAGCCCATTTGAAGAATGGTAGGTTTAAGATCCCAACTCACAACTCTCATCTAAACCATTCCCTCAGCATTCAACACACAGAGATTTACGCAATAGTTACCAAGTTTGAGAGAACCTTACCGAGAGCAAAAACCCAGCTCTCCAGGGAGAGAGCGTTACAGAGAGAGAATATACCAGGGGATCCCCCCCCCCCTGTCTCCCTCTCTCCAAAAAAAAAGTTCCTCCTCATCTGCCAGTGTCTTTATGCTCGAAAACAGGATAGAAAAACCTAAAGACACCTCCTCCATACCCATATTTGTGGAAACTGGGCATGGCCTCTGATGTAAAGAACTGGACATGACCAGACATGTGCTATGGCTCTGGCATAAGACACACCTTCCCATGTTTGTGTAAAAAGGACATGACCCCTACTCTGCAGGACTTGCAAAATATTATTCTCGGCTATGACATAACCACCTTTTTGGGGCCTCAATGTATTTCTCCTTAAGTCAGGAGCCCCCCTCCCTGGGTACTGCTGTGAGGGGAGAGGGAAGAAACTGCCTCTTCTCTTATCAGTGACACCCATAAACCATTATAGGCCTTACACACTCAACTTAACAAACCACTTGTTTTTTGTTTATACCAGGGGTCGGCAACCCCTGGCACGCGTGCCAGCATTGGCACGCGGCACCGTAACCAGTGGCACACTAGGAATAAGTCGAATAAGTGTGCAAAATATTTAAATTGTATTTTCGGATCCTGAACGAGACCGCCGCCAGAGCGCGTCTCCCCGTTACCTGCAGAAGGAAGCCATGCACGCAACGCAGCCCCGCTCTGTTTAACTCCAGGTGACTTTCTGCCGCTTTCCTCCGTGGTGCAGGGCTGTACCAATTGCAGTACCCATAAGGAGCTTTACAAATGCCGCAGTTTTTGCGTGGCTGTGTCTTTAGTTGAAAGCCCAGTGGCGATCTGCTCATCTCTCATTGAAATAATATGCTACAAAGGGGCGGACTGGCCATCTGTGTGTTGAACTTTCCTGTCGGCTCCCAGACCGTAGTCGAGGAGGGCAGAAGCAACAAGCTTCAGGTTCAATAACCCACTTTAGCTTAAATGACTGGAGAGAGGCGAGCTCTTCTGGGGAGGCCGTTGCATTTATTTAGCTGTTCTTCTGTTTCACAAAATACATCACAGACCTCTGTTTTTCTGCTGCCTCGTTTCACTTCCAGAAACATACACACACACGCTCCCTCACTGTCGCTCTACCATCCACACACACACATGCACACGCCACACCCCTCTCTCTCTCTCTCTTAAAGGGACAGCGATCTCATCTCACTCTGCCTGACCCTAATATCATAACATGTGTGTTCTGGAGAATCACAGAACGGACGATCGTCCTTATTATTATGCCGTTTAAACCAATTTAATTAAATGTGTTTGTTAAATTCGGCATCATGTAAGTTGTGCTGACAGGTACACACACACACTGCTTCCCCGCAGCGAGGCTCCCCCCGCCCTCCTGTTGATAGTTCACCAGCGTCAAGCTCCGCAAACCCACCCCCCCCCCCCCCCCGTTGATAATTCTCGATCGTTGGCACGCTGATAACAATTTTTTTTTTTAATGGCACTTCATATCAAAAAGGTTGCCGACCCCTGGTTTATACTGTAAATATAGAACATCATAAAATATGAAGCATTTTCATTGTGGGAATATAATTGATTATATTTGATTATAACTAACTTTCGTTTTAAGTATTCAACCTGATTTGGAGATCTCAACAGGAGAGTGTTAAATATACTTCACGAGAGGAAAGATGCGCCAGACACTGCTCTGCTATCAGTCGATGCCGAAAAGGCATTTGATAGAAGAGAATGGCCTTTTCTATTTGCAATATTAGACCGTTTTGGATTTGGGACTGCTTTCTGTAATTGGGTAAGGTTATTGTACACTCAACAGCTGAAATTCTGACTAACAATGTTATTTCTCAACCACTTAATATTAATAGGGGGGTCAGACAGGGGTGCCCTTTGTCTGAGACTGACAGTTAAGTTTATTTTAAACATTGTCACAGCTCACAGGATAGGTACCTGTCAGCCAATAAAACAGATGTTTATTTCCATGCAACTCTCTGGTTGGTCTGGGGTCTTGCCTCTGTTGCATTCACTGAACACGGGAAATTACAATCCTGCCATCCTCTCTAGTGTCATGATGAGGTTCAGGTAAAGCATGGTTAATGTATTATATGATTGACTCAATCATATAATACATGACTTTGAGTAGGCAATCTAGGCATATTAACAAAATGAATTAAACATACTTATCACGGCGACGGTGTACTGAGATAAAACACGGTGTACTGAGATAAAAAAAAAAAAAAATGTCGCTTATGTCGCTTAATGGGTCGGGCCGGCTCTGATTGCACGTCTGTCCGTCCTGGGAGAGGGATCCCTCCTCTGTTGCTCTCCCTGAGGTTTCTCCCATTTTCCCCTTTAAACTGTGGGTTTTTCTCTGGAAGTTTTTCCTTGTACGATGTGAGGGTCTAAGGACAGAGGGTGTCGTATTGTCATACTGATATTCTGTACAAACTGTGAAGTCCACTGAGACAAATGTAACATTTGTGATATTGGGCTATATAAATAAACATTGATTGATTGATTGATTGATTGATAAACTGCTGTGACTATGTACAGTTTTTAGGATAATGTTGCTACTGCCCAATTGTTTTTGTTTTATTTTAATTTTATTTCATTTAATTTATTGTCTTTTTATTATATATTTCAATTTATTTATTTTTGAAATGATGTCCTGTCTTGTCTTTGCCTCTGTTTTTCACATTATTATTTGTATTATTGTTTTTTGTAAGTTTGTGTAAGGTATGGCGTGTCTTGTTGTCCAAAAGAATGGCAAATTAATAAACATATTGTTTAAAAAAAAAAAGAGGGACGAGGTGCGTCACATGTAAATGTATCATTGGTGCTCGAGTTGACTGCCTGAACTAGCTCACAGGCTTCGCCCCATTTTTATAACTTATCATAAACCAAAGTTCGTACTATTCCCATGCTTACTGTGTTACTGTGTCCGTGAAAGTTGAGCTTACACACACATCGATGACATAATATGGAGCCCAAGTCTTCATTATCAAATGAATAGATTAGAAGAGGTAAAAATATAAATAACATGAATAAACGGATAAACCTGTGAAAAATGATTTCTTTTATACAAATGACTGTAATAATCACCTCAATTCAGTTACTAGGAAAATACATAATGACAGTACAATTGATTTGTTGGTAAGTCAACTATTCCACCATTTCACAATTTGTTTATGTATTGTACGAATTGATAATTTATTTCATAATCATTTTTTATTAGCAAATATTGAACACATAGGCTTTTATACAGGAATGGTGGCCTTGTTCTATATAATTCATACAGTATGAGGGAAAGGTCAGACACTTTTCAAATGAGATAACAAATGTTATGCAATCCTGAGCTTTCATTTCCATTCTTCCTTCCAGTTCACTCCCTTCCCGGTACTGTAAATCAACACATTAAGCTCTGTTCATGTTCTCCGAGCACCGATTCAGCAGGAGACTCATTAAGGTAGGCTATATGTAAACATTTTACTCAACCTAGTCAACAGTATACATCATGTATATTTGATTTTCCATCTGTTCCAGTCTCTCCTATATACCTTTTGATGATAATCATGTAATTATGACAATATAGGAGACACTGATCGCACTCATGTACATGGTTGTTAAGATTCATTGTTATCGAATAACTTTAAAAAAGTTTTAATATGAATGTATTGAGTGTGTCCGTGAGCTTGAATCATTATTGTTTCCTTTTTTTTTTAATGTCAGGGACCAAACCTAACCCCCACAAAATGTAATGCTTATTCATTTTGAAGATTATATTAGATTATATGTAACATTTTTGCTTACACGATCACTAAAAACATGTCCTTTCTATATTAATAAAAACTAAAAACTTGGCTAGTGTTAAGGAATAATTCTTCTAGATATCTAACCTTTTGCTCTGTGACGTTTTATGATCTACTCTGACGTCTGTTATCTCCTTTAAGGAAAGGCATTGGTGCCATATGTGTTGTTGTTACCAGTTTGTGACCGGTCAACTTGTCTGGCACGAATGGTAATTGTTGTGAGAACGCTGAGGCACTTCTTTATCGGTGTTTGTGGACTCTAAGATGTGAAATCTTTGAGGCCATAAGTGTTGGACGCAAGTGATTCAGTGTTCCCAGCTGTTTAGTCTACTCCTTCAGAGATGTTGATTACTCTCTGTGAATCAGTTAAAAGGTCTAACATAGAGAGAGGCTCTTCAGAATTGACGTGGCAACTCTCCCGTGAAGTCAGACCCTCTGACTCGTGATTTGTGATGTGAATCCTCCGGCCGATACTCTGAATAAACCCATCAGTGTTTGACATCAAAAGCTCCAACTCTCACCGTGTCTCCTTCCTGAGTCCTACACAGAAGTTTCCCCCACAGCTAGCTTTACATTTAGTCCCACATTCAGGCATGGCAGTGTAAACAGGACTAAGTGATAATACAACTTGCAGACTTTTGGCATACATTTCCTTAAGTACTGTCCTTAGATCCATTATATAGTTAATAGAAAGTGGAATTTCCAATATATGTTCCTCCACTATATTTAATGGTAAAATGTTGTACTTTGTAACACTATAAACTTTTGCACGAGTGCTCTAACTGAGATAAGGATATTCTATTGATTATTTTGGACTTTTACTAGTGTAGTTTTTATTGTAAGATATATTATGTGACAAGGCACTTTCACAGCCTTGTTTCTACTTTCGATAAAGTAAGAATACTTGAATACTTCTTCCAGGTCTGGGATACCTACCTAACAGCATTTTAAAAACATGGTATTTTAATCAATCAATCATTTATCGGTATGGAAGACCGGAAAGGTAAGCGAGAACTCAATTCTGGTCAATCATTTTATGTATCTAACTTTTTTTGTTTTGTTGCAATGATAATCTTTTTAAGGTATAGGCACTTGCTTGTTCTTTTAACAACTTATTTCAGCTGTCAAAAAAGGGTTTTGGTTGGTACATTTTTTGTTTGTTTGGTGTTTTGATACTAACTCTATAACCACAAGGGTGCAACACTAAAACATGCTTTAAATGGATCCAAAAGCATTTAACGTTTTCTTCCAGGAGAGTTTTATTGTATCCTTTTATACGGTGAGATGTGCGCGCATTCAGGTAGGCCCGCCCCGGGGCCGGCTACGTTTATAGAAGTCACTAGAGGCTTCTCAAGACTATAATTTCCCCTCCTCGACTCCTATCCTCGGCTCCTATCCCCGAGACTTAGTCCCGCCCACAGGAGATGCGAGCGGAGGACTCGAGGAGGGGAACCGAGGAGAGAGGAGGGGAAGCAGCAGGCGGTTAGAGAAATGAGAACTCCTCTCCTCTGAGCGGTCATTTTAAAGAGACATCCATTAATGATGACAGGAGGCACAGCAGCACTCTGTCTGATGGACAGATGTGTTCATGAAGACTTATATATTAACTTTTAATTAATTGACAGTGCGGTATATGAGACAATAACAAGCTACAGATGCGGACATATGCACACAAATATATGTATATAAATATATACAATTTAAAGTATGAGAGCACTCTCATAATAACGTAACACAATCAGAGACTGGATATATCCCCCCCTCTCTCTGGTCGCTGAAATGGGGAATTGAAATTACGGGCCAAAAGTTGTATTTACAAGTATTAAAAGTAAGCATAGGACACCAAACCCAACTGAGACCCGTCTGTCCGCCGCATCTACGCACACACTGTACCACACACACCTACACACTGTACAACACGCACCTACACACTGTACCACACACACCTACAGCTCCTAAAGCATATAATATATCAGGCTCCGTTGTGTATTTTATTATGTGAAGCACGAAATGGTCTTAGAAAAATATCGACTCTTTGTTTGTAGATATCTACTAAACTACAGCATACAAATACAGAGAGTAATGTAGGCCTGTTATACTGAGTGATATCTATTTTACACACTGCTCTGCTTTCTGCACGGACCTCACAGCTGTTCTCACTGTAAACATCGCGTCGCGATGAAAGCAGTTTTACTAAAATAATATCCAGGGGATGCATGCAGAGCTGTCATTGGCTGAGATAAGTCCGGCCGTGCGTCACGACTCCACCGTTCCCGGAAATGCATCCACGGAGGAGCCGTGGAGGACCCATCATCAGTGTATCCTCGGTTATAGCTCCTCCAGAGAGCCTCCTCGATGCTCGATGCTCGGTCCTCGATGTGCATTTAGAGAAATTAGATGTCCTTCAACATGGCACGCTGAAATCCATTTCCAGGTCACTACCGGAGGACCGAGGAGTCGAGGAGTCGAGGAGTCGAGGAGGGGAAATTAGAGTATTGAGAAGCCTCTTCAGTGGATGAATGCTTGCATGATATGATCAAGGGGTAGTACCCATAGAGTCCAGTAGAGGGCGGAGCCTGTGAGAGATATAACTTACATTTTAGATATGTTTCCAGTGAACGTTGAAATTAGGTAACTGAATGTGCGTGTTAGGTAGAAAGCAAGATGTTGTTGTTACAAATGCACCCTGCGATCTATACCATTGAGAGAGCTTAAAACTAAATGTATTTCAGATCGGGGACAGCTCCATCAAAGCCCAGTGGAACTCTGAAGAAGAGTTATTTCCAGTCCATTGGTGGCAATCCAGATTTCAAACTGTAAATCATAGTAACTTCACAGCCTCCATTACATGTATTGTGGAGATTAGCTCTCTATGCACTTTGTGATCAGTATACATTTCCGTGAGAGTAAAACTCATAGGTCAATGTACTTTGCCCAAGTAAAAGTAATTTGACTGTTGGTATGACAATGAAGTTATCAGAGGACATGCCTCTTTCATTTTCAAAGAGTAATCGGGTGAAACAGAATTGTCCAGTTAGGTCTATCAGGGTTTTGGTTAAAATTAGAACAAGGCATAGTCATTATGTTACCTATGTGTAGTAATGTGACGTAGTAACCTTTTGACTCTTTGTTTCACATGGGACACGGACACCTGTCTTCTGGATGCATGTTGAAAGTAGAAAGCTATCTTTTATTGTTAAAACATAACACAAATGAATTTCAGATCGAAGACACACCAATCAGTGCCCAGTGGATCTGTGAGCGAGTGTTCTGAGTGGTCCATGGATGGCAATCCAGCTTCCAAACAGTAAGTAAAAATAACTTCACAGCCTCAAATACATTTATTGCGGAGATTAGCTCTCTATGCACCCTGCGATCTATACCATTCAGAGAGCTTAAAACAAAAATGAATTTCAGATCGAAGACACCACAATCAGTGCCTCGTGGATCTGTGAGCGAGTGTTCTGAGTGGTCCATGGATGGCCAACCAACTTTCAAAGAGTGAGTAAAAATAAATTCACTGCCTCAAATGAATTATGGCGACTAACTCTTTACACGTTGTGATCCAAAAACCTTTCTCTGAAAAGTAGGTACTTTTCCTCAAGTAAGGTTTTACATGTTTGTGAGACAAGGAAGTCATCAATGGACCTGCCTCTTCATTTAAAGGGGACCTATCATGCAAAATGCACTTTTGTACGTCTTTTATACATGAATATGTGTCCCCGGTGTGTCAGGGAACTCACCAAGTGTCAGAAAACACTCTCTCTTTTCCTCCATACCCAAATCTCTAAAAACGGGGCTGCAACGGATCTGATGCAAGCACTGTAATTCTCTCCGGTTAGTCCACCAGCAGATGACAAACACCCACCTCTCCGCCTCTTCCAAGGAATGAGGGGACCGTGCGACAGAGTTTCAGTTAGATTTTTTTTCACCGGTCAACATGTCCGTTAAAGTTTAAATCTTCCGGACAAAATTAGAAAAGTGCCGGTCAAAGGTCTTCTTTGTTATTTATTGAGCTTTAAAACAAATGAATAACAACTCTATATAATCATATATAAGAATAAAACACAGAGGACGGAGATCTCTTTTTCTCCCCCTCTTCTGACAGCCCAGCAGCTGATCTCAAAGCACGCTCCCCTCTCCTGCAGGGGGGCGTGGTCAGCTGCACCTAATTTGCATTAAAGCTACGTCACAGAATCAGCCCCCTGCAAAAACATGGCTGGAAAGAGCAAATAGAGCGAAATGAGGCATGGCTAAAATGCATGATCTGTTTGGTATTTTGAAAAAAAACTTCGCAGACATGTTTTATATAGGTATGGCCCTACAATATATTATTCAAATATAGCATGATAGGTCCACTTTAAGAAAAGTACAATTTAAATACGTATTGTATGCTTTTTGAACTTTCGGACACACAACTATAGCATAGACTGAAACCCGCTGTCATGACCCTTAGTACATACCTGCCAACCCTACCGATTTGGGCGGTAGTCTACCGCTTTTGACATGTTTCTACCGCCTACCGACTTAGCTGACTCTCCCTACCGATTTTCAATCTTCCCAAACTATAACAAATAAAAATGACACTACATAGACACTGGACTCGACTTTTGGCGGACACCGTTTGCAGCGTGTCTGTGATCCCATCATACAAACAGTCCTCTGTGTTTCAGTCGATCACGAGATGTGTCTAAAAATAGAACGACAATATTCTGTTTTATCGTTAATGTCCTATAACATAATCTTCCTGTGCCAGAATAATGCACTTGAACGCATCAAAGCTTTGTGATTTATCGGGGTGTGGCTGGTAGGCAGTGGGCACTAGTTTGCTGTGCAGTCCGCACACACAAGACCACAATTATGGCAGAAGCAAAAGAGCCCAAAATATATAATTTTCACTCCGAGTGGGAGGGTGATTATTTTTGTATCTATTCCAATTCAAAGTCCATCTGTCTCATCTGCAATGCGAGCGTGGCTTTATCGAAGAAGGGTAATTTAGGAGCGGCATTTCAAAACAGTGCACAAACGCTACGAGACGGAATTCCCTCCTAATTCTGTCCTACGCTCCCAAAAGGTGAGGGACCTGAAAGAACAGCTAAATGCACAGCAGTCCATTTTCACCAGGCCCAACAACAAGAGCAAGGCTGCTACCATAGCATCTTATCGTGTCAGTCACGTTCTTGCGAAACACATGAAGTCTTTCAAAGACGGCGAGGTTGTGAAAGAAGCATTCCTGGAGGCTGCCGACGCGCTTTTTGGGGACAGTAAAAAGAACAGTAGCATTTCAACAGGTTTTTGATATAATAAAAACTCAAGTTAGATACAGTTATTAATCAGCTGTAAGTTTTAGTTTGTTTGAACTTATTCATTATAATTATTGTACAAAATGGTATAAGAATGCAAACTTTAAGATCTGTTCTGTTTAAATTGATTATAGTCTATTATCAATTCAGGTTAAGAAACTAGTGTTGCTTGCATCCTATTTTAAAGGCATTTCTTTTTATACTCTACTAAAATGCAAAAAAAAGAAAAGGGTTTGATTCTATTAATTTTGTCTTTTTTATTGCACTCTGGCAGCAGATTCCTGTGTAGCTTCAGATCTGAGTTGTCTTATTAGTAAAACTAATTTATACTTTTGTAGCAACACTATTTTTATATAATGGCAAAGAAAGGGTTCAGTCTTTTCTTTTTTTCCTGTGTCATATGTGGCAGCACTGTTCAATGTTTCTTGAAAACATTACCCACTGTAGTATGTGACGTGTGAATAAACTCCAACTCCAACACTGTTGTGTAGCTTCAGCTACTTGTGTGTGTGTAGATTAGAAAGAGGCAACATAAAGGATCTGCAGTATTTTATGAAGTATTAATCGTACAAAGGTCAGTTTTATACAAGTAGAAGTGTGTATTTACCTGGTAGTAGGCTGTCAGTAATGGCTACACCTCTCTATTTGGACTGGTAGATCTCGGCAGACTGGCCATTTTAAAAGTAGTTCTCGGTTCAAAAAAGGTTGGGCACCCCTGATCTACACTGTCAAGGTTCAAGGTTCAAGGTTCTTTATTGTCAAACTAACATAGCTACAGAGTAATTATGTCGTTGAAAATCTTATGTCACAGGCTTCTCCAACAATGCAACTGAAAGAGGACCAGAAACACATTAAAAATATAATAAAATGCGGAGACTTTGGGATATTTATCTCCCATTCTTTTACTTTTCGGGCATTTTACAGACCAAACATGTCGTTGATGTCACTGTTTACCAAACTACCACTTTTTCTGAAAAATGCATAAAATGATGCAATATATGTTAAATACATGGTTTATACATGTAATTACTGGGGTTCCATTTCTTCTGATTACCTAATTTGGGCGTGCACATTTGCCGCGCGCAAACCTACCTCTTTTGGATTTGGAAAGGTTGGCATGTATGTTAGTATAATGTGCACTACACAGGGCATATGCTCGAATGATAGTATTCTTGCTGCCGCTATCATATTGAGAGCACTATAGCTTCCTAAAGTTATGAGCTTGTCCACTACCTCCCACTCCTGCACAACTTCAAGAAACTAGCTAGCGCATGCTTTAGCAATATGCTTTTCCTTTGTTTTCACTGCACCTACAGTAAAGCAAACAAGAGCCAAACATTAGCCAAGGATTAGTTTTTCTGTTACGCCGGGTAGTTATGACTGCTTACTGATTTCCATTGGTCTCCAGTTAGTGCAACACATGTAGCTTGTGTCAGTTCCTCCGCGTTCTCTGCTATTTTACTGCCATGCTATTCATGGTAAAAATCTGCGCTGGAATTGCGGGAGGAAGTTGGGGTCAAATTTAGTAATTTCATTAATTTGCTTTAATTAGCTTTTTATGCTTTAAGGTTTCCATATTAATTGCAGGGGTTAACATGTTAATGTTCCCAGCCCTAGTTTCCACCTGCACAACATCATCTTTTCAAAAAGTTATGAAATGTCTCAGTGAGTACTTGGATCATCTTAAAGGGCCCATGTCATGGCCATTTCCACTGATCATAATTACATTGTTGAGGTATACTAAAATAGATTTATACTGTGCAATTTTCCAAACTCACATTGGTTTCGCATACAGCATCTCTGTCAAGCATGTGTATTCAGCAGTATTCACTTTCTCCACTAAACGACTCGTTGGAGCTCTTGCCCCCCCCTCCCTGTGAGCCTAGTGTGCTCCGATTGGTCAGCTCGGCCACTCGTTCTGATTAGTCAACCACCAGAGAGGCTGCGCCCATGTCAGTGCTTTTCCCGGCTGCTCTCAGCGTAACATCAGTCTTATCATGGCGTCGGTACAGCGGTATATTTTATATACATATATATTTTTAACTGTTGTTATAGAAGAGTGTGACGGCCTCAGGGCCTTTGTCTTACGGTGGGGTGGAGCTGAAGAGGGTAATCAGCGCGATCACGGACACCTCCGTAGCCGGTGCTATTAATCCCAGCGGCCCGGAGTCTCTCTCCAAAGCGGCTGCAGAAGGACGAACTGAGCGACCCTCTCCCCTCGACCACCTGTCTCTGCATTTACTACAATAAATGTGCCGTGGTTTTGTAAACTCGTGTATGTCTCCTTGTCTTTCCGTTGTGGCCTACGAGCTACTCTCATAACAAAGAGTAAGTTATTTTTACCCGTTATAAACTACTACTGTTTGATGAGAAATCAAATCATGGTTTGCTATATATGAATTCAGGGAAGAAAGGATAGGCCTACTAAGTATTTCCATTAAACTTTATTTTTAGAAATGTACAAAATGAACATAAATATACATATATACACGGTATATCATCCATTCCTCCTCCTCGCATCTTGCCTGCGCACAGTCGGTGCGGTGCCTTTTAGCACCCTCAGTAGTAGTAGAATCCCTTCCCCGTCATGGATTGTCCGCCAGGATCTGGCTGGACGAAATCAAATGCAAATCACAAAATATTAGAGAAACTTAGTTGTTTTAGATTCGTTAGTAGTAGTTGTGTAATGAACAGCTTGCCTGCTAATATGCTAACCTAGCTTTGTTTACCTTGGTAGCTAACACGATATGAACGTTAGCTTGGAGGAAAGGCAACTATAATGCAGTGTAATAAAACTACTATGAACAAAAGCTAGTGGTTCATATTAGGCTAGCAATAACGTGTTTATAATTGCAATCGTATACGGGTATTCTGCTACGTTCGGTCATACAATGTAACTTGCATGAATACATTGTTTTGCGCTAGCATACAGCTAGCCTCGTTAGCTACATGCAGTATATGTACGGTCACAATGTACGGTAAATCACAGTACAGTATACTGTATGAGTATTCCGTGTGTGTGACTGCAGACATTCTCCTGCCATGACAAACATGTAAGGCCATCTGCTGACATTGTAGTTGATATATTTAAACGCTAGCAACGTAGCATCACAAAAATGTTTTTCTGACCGAAACTAGCTCTAGCTCCGTGTGTTAGATCGCTACGCCAGCTATAATGTAATTACGTTTCGCGACTGACCGGCAAATCACCCGGAGTATACTGTCAATAGGTATTTTGTGTGTGAATGCAGACATTCTCCTGCTATGAGATACATGTATGCAAGGCCATCTGCTGATATTAGAGTTGATATATGGAAACTCTAGCAACTTAGTTAGCACTGTGTCAATGGCTTAGCAGTCCAACACAGTTTACACATTTAAACAGTCTTGTTTGATAAATACACAAATAACAATGCAAACTTACAGGTTGTATACCCAGATCTTCCCCTGCTCCAAACGGTCCAAACAAGCTGTGCATATCCGGCCTCAAACTGGGCAATGTTTTGGAAGCTTTCGTCTGTGAAATGCCGGTTCTTCGAACCTCTGGAGGAGGAACACGACGCTGCTGGTGTGGCCATAGCTCTTCGGGATTGGTCCATTTCGTTCCGGGTACCGCATGACATCAGGCGGTACCCGGAACTAAATGGAAGACTCAAATGGGCAGTGACGTATCTCCAACGAGGCGTTTTGGGGAGGTATTTTCTGTGTTAGAGTTTTACTCGCTACAGGGTGTACTTTGAGGGTTTTGACTCTGCACACCGTTTACATGCATAAAAACCTTCATAACACACAAGGGGACGGGTAATAACCGGAAAAGCATGACATGGGAGCTTTAATATAAACTACACTGAATCTTGATAAACAGAATGCCCTGATAAACAGAATGCCCTGAAAGTTTCACTTAAACTTTGTTCCAAGTGCATACAGTACTAAAAATGAACGAACATCACATACAATAATTTCACAATTTAAATGAGTTTTAGGGGGAATGTGGAGAGTCTTCGATCTGTTTTCCGTAACGACGAATTCTCAGGAGTGTCTGCTGACTCTAAGTCTAAGAAGGACGAGGGAAAAAGATACAGAACTGTCTCACAAGAAAAACTGATTTCTAGCGTTAATGAATTGCAAGTAGATAGGTCTGAAGTTACTGCCAAAAAATAATGTTGAAATTAGGTAAATGGATATGTGTGTCAAATAGAACACCAAATGTTGTACTTAAAACATAAAACTAAATGTATTTCAGATCGGGGACAGCTCCATCAAAGCCCAGTGGAACTCTGAAGAAGAGTTATGTCCAGTCCATTGATGGCAATTTGGTTTCGAAACAGTAAGTAAACATAACTTCACAGCCTCAAATACATTTATTGTGGAGATTAGCTCTCTATGCACTATGTGATCTATATACCTTTCAGGGTGCGAATACATTTTTTTAGAATTGTTTTTTTTAATACTCTTTATAATTGCTATGAACAAAATCCCAAATTTGGGATAAATAAAGTATATCTTATCTAAACTCACAATAGGTCTATGTACTTTAGCTCAAGTAAAAGTTGTTTTTACTGTTAGTATGACAATGAAGTCTTCAAAGGACATGCCTCTTTCATTTTAGAACAGAAATGTAAACAGTTAAAACAGAAGTGTTTGGTTAGATTCATAAGAAAAATCGTGGTTTGGGTTGAAATGAAAACCAGGTGGCGTCAATATGTTACCTATGTGAAGTAGAATGTGATGTAGTAACCCTTTACTTTTTGTTTCACATTGGACATGGACACCTGTCTTCAGAATCAGAATCAGAATCAGAAATCCTTTATTAGTCCCACAGCGGGAACATTTACATTTTTACAGCAAAAGTGGCATAGAAGCAATGGATACATGTTGCAAGTAGAAAGCTATCTTTGATTGTTAATACACAACACAAATAATTTCAGATCGAAGACACACCAATCAGTGCCCAGTGGATCTGTGAGCGAGTGTTCTGAGTGGTCCATGGATGGCCAACCGACTTTCAAAGAGTGAGTAAAAATAAATTTGCAGCCTCACATTCTTTATGGTGATTAACTCTCTAGACACTTTGTGATCTAAAAACTTTTCCCGTAATTGAAAACTCAAAGTATAGGTACTTTTCCTCAAGGAAGATCTTTACTGTTTGTGAGACGAGAAGTGATCGACATGTCACTTTATTTTTCTAAAAGAACAATAAGATTAAATATTACAAGCTTCAATCTTTTAGATTCTGGTAAAATGTGTAATGACTGTTTTTAGGTATTTTGTAATTGCACTTACCTCACTTTCCATGTGAATAGAGTATTGCGTATCAGTTTAAATTCCTTTGAATTCAAATGTGTGTTTTTCTACATATAAAACATAATCTTGATTAACAGAATACTATGAGAGTTACACTTTAACTCAGACATGACATACAATCAGTGTCAGTTTAACAGCAAATATGACTATTTGCCTTTCAGGGGGACCGTGAAGGGTCTGCAGTCTGTCTTCAATAAAAAGGAATCATCAGGAGTGTCTGCTGACTCAAAGTACAAGACGGACGAGGGCAAAAGGTACAGAACTGTCTCACATGAAAACCTGATTTCTACCAGTAATAATTTGCAAGTAGATAGGAATGCAGTTAAAGCCAAAATGTAAATGTTGAAATTCATTGACTGAATGTGCGTGTCAAGTAGAACGCAAGATGTTGTTGTTAAAACATAAAACTAAATATATTTCAGATCGGGGAAAGCTCCATCAAAGCCCAGTGGAACTCTGAAGAAGAGTTATGTCCAGTCCATTGGTGTCAATCCAGATTTCAAACTGTAAATCATAGTAATTTCACAGCCTCCATTACATGTATTGTGGAGATTAGCTCTCTATGCACTTTGTGATCAGTATACATTTCCGTGAGAGTAAAACTCATAGGTCAATGTACTTTTGCCCAAGTAAAAGTAATTTGACTGTTGGTATGACAATGAAGTTATCAGAAGACATGCCTCTTTCATTTTCAAAGAGTAATCGGGTGAAACAGAATTGTCCAGTTAGGTCTATCAGGGTTTTGGTTAAAATTAGAACAAGGCATAGTCATTATGTTACCTATGTGTAGTAATGTGACGTGGTAACCTTTTGACTCTTTGTTTCACATGGGACACGGACACCTGTCTCCTGGATGCATGTTGAAAGTAGAAAGCTATCTTTTATTGTTAAAACATAACACAAATGAATTTCAGATCGAAAACACACCAATCAGTGCCCAGTGGATCTGTGAGCGAGTGTTCTGAGTGGTCCATGGATGGCAATCCAGCTTCCAAACAGTAAGTAAAAATAACTTCACAGCCTCAAATACATTTATTGCGGAGATTAGCTCTCTATGCACCCTGCGATCTATACCATTCAGAGAGCTTAAAACAAAAATGAATTTCAGATCGAAGACACCACAATCAGTGCCTAGTGGATCTGTGAGCGAGTGTTCTGAGTGGTCCATGGATGGCCAACCAACTTTCAAAGAGTGAGTAAAAATAAATTCACTGCCTCAAATTAATTATGGCGACTAACTCTCTTTACACGTTGTGATCCAAAAACCTTTCTCTGAAAAGTAGGTACTTTTCCTCAAGTAAGGTTTTACATGTTTGTGAGACAAGGAAGTCATCAATCGACCTACCTCTTCATTTAAAGGGGACCTATCATGCAAAATGCACTTGTGTACGTCTTTTAAACATGAATATGTGTCCCCGGTGTGTCAGGGAACTCACCAAGTGTCAGAAAACACAACCCTCTCTTTTCCTCCATACCCAAATCTCTAAAAACGGGGCTGCAACGGATCTGATACAGACTGATCCAGATTTGAAAATTCTCTGACGTCTGGAATGAGGAGCTCCGCCTATATGCTCCACCTATATGGCCAACTCTCCACCTATCAGGGGAATGTGGGGTTGGGCCACGGCCGGCCATTGCCGCTCGAAAGCGCTGGAGACGCTGTAGTACATATACCAGGCCTGTAAGTGGCGCTGTAGTCTGCCACAAAAGCAGCGAAGAAGACTTCCCGCGCATGGTTGCCATGGTTGCCCTTCTGTTTATTCTCCGCTGTGGCTCTTTTTCTCCCTCCCCGAGGCAAGCGTTTGCTCCCGCTGCTTTAATTCAATGCAATCCCTCCCCGTCGAGGCAAGCACTGTAATTCGTTAGTTAGTCCACCAGCAGATGACAAACACCCACCTCTCCGCCTCTTCCAAGGAACGAGGGGACCGTGCGACAGAGTTTCAGTTAGATTTTTTTTCGCCGGTCAACATCTCCGTTAAAGTTTAAATCTTCCGGACAAAATTTGAAAAGTGCCGGTCAAAGGTCTTTGTTATTTATTGAGCTTTAAAACAAATGAATAACGACTCTATATAATCATATATAAGAATAAAACACGGAAGACGGAGATCTCTTTTTCTCCCTTTCTTCTGACAGCCCAGCAGCTGATCTCAAAGCACGCTCCCCTCTCCTGCAGGGGGGCGTGGTCAGCTGCACCTCATTTGCATTAAAGCTACGTCACAGAATCAGCCCCCTGCAAAAACAGGGCTGGAAAGAGCAAATAGAGCAAAATGAGGCATGGCTAAAATGCATGATCTGTTTGGTATTTTGAAAAAAAAACTTCGCAGACATGTTTTATATAGGTATGGCCCTACAATATATTATTCAAATACAGCATGATAGGTCCACTTTAAGAAAAGTACAATTTAAATACGTATTGTATGCCTAAATTATTTTTAATTGATGTATTGCCTGTAATTACTGAGTTTTGGTGTTTTGTAATTGGATAACATCTCAGCTTAGTTTTGAATATTCGGCACGAAGACGGAGAACTTTCGGACACACAACTAAAGCATAGACTGAAACCCGCTGTCATGACCCTTCGAATAATGTGCACTACACAGGTAAATGGATATATGTGTCAAGTAGAACACCAAATGTTGTACTTAAAACATAAAACTAAATGTATTTCAGATCGGGGACAGCTCCATCAAAGCCCAGTGGAACTCTGAAGAAGAGTTATGTCCAGTCCATTGATGGCAATTTGGTTTCGAAACAGTAAGTAAACATAACTTCACAGCCTCAAATACATTTATTGTGGAGATTAGCTCTCTATGCACTATGTGATCTATATACCTTTCAGGGTGCAAATACATTTTTTTAGAATTGTTTTTTTTAATACTCTTTATAATTGCTATGAACAAAATCCCAAATTTGGGATAAATAAAGTATATCTTATCTAAACTCACAATAGGTCTATGTACTTTAGCTCAAGTAAAAGTTGTTTTTACTGTTAGTATGACAATGAAGTCTTCAAAGGACATGCCTCTTTCATTTTAGAACAGAAATGTAAACAGTTAAAACAGAAGTGTTTGGTTAGATTCATAAGAAAAATCGTGGTTTGGGTTGAAATGAAAACCAGGTGGCGTCAATATGTTACCTATGTGAAGTAGAATGTGATGTAGTAACCCTTTACTTTTTGTTTCACATTGGACATGGACACCTGTCTTCAGAATCAGAATCAGAATCAGAAATCCTTTATTAGTCCCACAGCGGGAACATTTACATTTTTACAGCAAAAGTGGCATAGAAGCAATGGATACATGTTGCAAGTAGAAAGCTATCTTTGATTGTTAATACACAACACAAATAATTTCAGATCGAAGACACACCAATCAGTGCCCAGTGGATCTGTGAGCGAGTGTTCTGAGTGGTCCATGGATGGCCAACCGACTTTCAAAGAGTGAGTAAAAATAAATTTGCAGCCTCACATTCTTTATGGTGATTAACTCTCTAGACACTTTGTGATCTAAAAACTTTTCCCGTAATTGAAAACTCAAAGTATAGGTACTTTTCCTCAAGGAAGATCTTTACTGTTTGTGAGACGAGAAGTGATCGACATGTCACTTTATTTTTCTAAAAGAACAATAAGATTAAATATTACAAGCTTCAATCTTTTAGATTCTGGTAAAATGTGTAATGACTGTTTTTAGGTATTTTGTAATTGCACTTACCTCACTTTCCATGTGAATAGAGTATTGCGTATCAGTTTAAATTCCTTTGAATTCAAATGTGTGTTTTTCTACATATAAAACATAATCTTGATTAACAGAATACTATGAGAGTTACACTTTAACTCAGACATGACATACAATCAGTGTCAGTTTAACAGCAAATATGACTATTTGCCTTTCAGGGGGACCGTGAAGGGTCTGCAGTCTGTCTTCAATAAAAAGGAATCATCAGGAGTGTCTGCTGACTCAAAGTACAAGACGGACGAGGGCAAAAGGTACAGAACTGTCTCACATGAAAACCTGATTTCTACCAGTAATAATTTGCAAGTAGATAGGAATGCAGTTAAAGCCAAAATGTAAATGTTGAAATTCATTGACTGAATGTGCGTGTCAAGTAGAACGCAAGATGTTGTTGTTAAAACATAAAACTAAATATATTTCAGATCGGGGAAAGCTCCATCAAAGCCCAGTGGAACTCTGAAGAAGAGTTATGTCCAGTCCATTGGTGTCAATCCAGATTTCAAACTGTAAATCATAGTAACTTCACAGCCTCCATTACATGTATTGTGGAGATTAGCTCTCTATGCACTTTGTGATCAGTATACATTTCCGTGAGAGTAAAACTCATAGGTCAATGTACTTTTGCCCAAGTAAAAGTAATTTGACTGTTGGTATGACAATGAAGTTATCAGAAGACATGCCTCTTTCATTTTCAAAGAGTAATCGGGTGAAACAGAATTGTCCAGTTAGGTCTATCAGGGTTTTGGTTAAAATTAGAACAAGGCATAGTCATTATGTTACCTATGTGTAGTAATGTGACGTGGTAACCTTTTGACTCTTTGTTTCACATGGGACACGGACACCTGTCTCCTGGATGCATGTTGAAAGTAGAAAGCTATCTTTTATTGTTAAAACATAACACAAATGAATTTCAGATCGAAAACACACCAATCAGTGCCCAGTGGATCTGTGAGCGAGTGTTCTGAGTGGTCCATGGATGGCAATCCAGCTTCCAAACAGTAAGTAAAAATAACTTCACAGCCTCAAATACATTTATTGCGGAGATTAGCTCTCTATGCACCCTGCGATCTATACCATTCAGAGAGCTTAAAACAAAAATGAATTTCAGATCGAAGACACCACAATCAGTGCCCAGTGGATCTGTGAGCGAGTGTTCTGAGTGGTCCATGGATGGCCAACCAACTTTCAAAGAGTGAGTAAAAATAAATTCACTGCCTCAAATTAATTATGGCGACTAACTCTCTTTACACGTTGTGATCCAAAAACCTTTCTCTGAAAAGTAGGTACTTTTCCTCAAGTAAGGTTTTACATGTTTGTGAGACAAGGAAGTCATCAATCGACCTACCTCTTCATTTAAAGGGGACCTATCATGCAAAATGCACTTGTGTACGTCTTTTAAACATGAATATGTGTCCCCGGTGTGTCAGGGAACTCACCAAGTGTCAGAAAACACAACCCTCTCTTTTCCTCCATACCCAAATCTCTAAAAACGGGGCTGCAACGGATCTGATACAGACTGATCCAGATTTGAAAATTCTCTGACGTCTGGAATGAGGAGCTCCGCCTATATGCTCCACCTATATGGCCAACTCTCCACCTATCAGGGGAATGTGGGGTTGGGCCACGGCCGGCCATTGCCGCTCGAAAGCGCTGGAGACGCTGTAGTACATATACCAGGCCTGTAAGTGGCGCTGTAGTCTGCCACAAAAGCAGCGAAGAAGACTTCCCGCGCATGGTTGCCATGGTTGCCCTTCTGTTTATTCTCCGCTGTGGCTCTTTTTCTCCCTCCCCGAGGCAAGCGTTTGCTCCCGCTGCTTTAATTCAATGCAATCCCTCCCCGTCGAGGCAAGCACTGTAATTCGTTAGTTAGTCCACCAGCAGATGACAAACACCCACCTCTCCGCCTCTTCCAAGGAACGAGGGGACCGTGCGACAGAGTTTCAGTTAGATTTTTTTTCGCCGGTCAACATCTCCGTTAAAGTTTAAATCTTCCGGACAAAATTTGAAAAGTGCCGGTCAAAGGTCTTTGTTATTTATTGAGCTTTAAAACAAATGAATAACGACTCTATATAATCATATATAAGAATAAAACACGGAAGACGGAGATCTCTTTTTCTCCCTTTCTTCTGACAGCCCAGCAGCTGATCTCAAAGCACGCTCCCCTCTCCTGCAGGGGGGCGTGGTCAGCTGCACCTCATTTGCATTAAAGCTACGTCACAGAATCAGCCCCCTGCAAAAACAGGGCTGGAAAGAGCAAATAGAGCAAAATGAGGCATGGCTAAAATGCATGATCTGTTTGGTATTTTGAAAAAAAAAACTTCGCAGACATGTTTTATATAGGTATGGCCCTACAATATATTATTCAAATACAGCATGATAGGTCCACTTTAAGAAAAGTACAATTTAAATACGTATTGTATGCCTAAATTATTTTTAATTGATGTATTGCCTGTAATTACTGAGTTTTGGTGTTTTGTAATTGGATAACATCTCAGCTTAGTTTTGAATATTCGGCACGAAGACGGAGAACTTTCGGACACACAACTAAAGCATAGACTGAAACCCGCTGTCATGACCCTTCGAATAATGTGCACTACACAGGTAAATGGATATATGTGTCAAGTAGAACACCAAATGTTGTACTTAAAACATAAAACTAAATGTATTTCAGATCGGGGACAGCTCCATCAAAGCCCAGTGGAACTCTGAAGAAGAGTTATGTCCAGTCCATTGATGGCAATTTGGTTTCGAAACAGTAAGTAAACATAACTTCACAGCCTCAAATACATTTATTGTGGAGATTAGCTCTCTATGCACTATGTGATCTATATACCTTTCAGGGTGCAAATACATTTTTTTAGAATTGTTTTTTTTAATACTCTTTATAATTGCTATGAACAAAATCCCAAATTTGGGATAAATAAAGTATATCTTATCTAAACTCACAATAGGTCTATGTACTTTAGCTCAAGTAAAAGTTGTTTTTACTGTTAGTATGACAATGAAGTCTTCAAAGGACATGCCTCTTTCATTTTAGAACAGAAATGTAAACAGTTAAAACAGAAGTGTTTGGTTAGATTCATAAGAAAAATCGTGGTTTGGGTTGAAATGAAAACCAGGTGGCGTCAATATGTTACCTATGTGAAGTAGAATGTGATGTAGTAACCCTTTACTTTTTGTTTCACATTGGACATGGACACCTGTCTTCAGAATCAGAATCAGAATCAGAAATCCTTTATTAGTCCCACAGCGGGAACATTTACATTTTTACAGCAAAAGTGGCATAGAAGCAATGGATACATGTTGCAAGTAGAAAGCTATCTTTGATTGTTAATACACAACACAAATAATTTCAGATCGAAGACACACCAATCAGTGCCCAGTGGATCTGTGAGCGAGTGTTCTGAGTGGTCCATGGATGGCCAACCGACTTTCAAAGAGTGAGTAAAAATAAATTTGCAGCCTCACATTCTTTATGGTGATTAACTCTCTAGACACTTTGTGATCTAAAAACTTTTCCCGTAATTGAAAACTCAAAGTATAGGTACTTTTCCTCAAGGAAGATCTTTACTGTTTGTGAGACGAGAAGTGATCGACATGTCACTTTATTTTTCTAAAAGAACAATAAGATTAAATATTACAAGCTTCAATCTTTTAGATTCTGGTAAAATGTGTAATGACTGTTTTTAGGTATTTTGTAATTGCACTTACCTCACTTTCCATGTGAATAGAGTATTGCGTATCAGTTTAAATTCCTTTGAATTCAAATGTGTGTTTTTCTACATATAAAACATAATCTTGATTAACAGAATACTATGAGAGTTACACTTTAACTCAGACATGACATACAATCAGTGTCAGTTTAACAGCAAATATGACTATTTGCCTTTCAGGGGGACCGTGAAGGGTCTGCAGTCTGTCTTCAATAAAAAGGAATCATCAGGAGTGTCTGCTGACTCAAAGTACAAGACGGACGAGGGCAAAAGGTACAGAACTGTCTCACATGAAAACCTGATTTCTACCAGTAATAATTTGCAAGTAGATAGGAATGCAGTTAAAGCCAAAATGTAAATGTTGAAATTCATTGACTGAATGTGCGTGTCAAGTAGAACGCAAGATGTTGTTGTTAAAACATAAAACTAAATATATTTCAGATCGGGGAAAGCTCCATCAAAGCCCAGTGGAACTCTGAAGAAGAGTTATGTCCAGTCCATTGGTGTCAATCCAGATTTCAAACTGTAAATCATAGTAACTTCACAGCCTCCATTACATGTATTGTGGAGATTAGCTCTCTATGCACTTTGTGATCAGTATACATTTCCGTGAGAGTAAAACTCATAGGTCAATGTACTTTTGCCCAAGTAAAAGTAATTTGACTGTTGGTATGACAATGAAGTTATCAGAAGACATGCCTCTTTCATTTTCAAAGAGTAATCGGGTGAAACAGAATTGTCCAGTTAGGTCTATCAGGGTTTTGGTTAAAATTAGAACAAGGCATAGTCATTATGTTACCTATGTGTAGTAATGTGACGTGGTAACCTTTTGACTCTTTGTTTCACATGGGACACGGACACCTGTCTCCTGGATGCATGTTGAAAGTAGAAAGCTATCTTTTATTGTTAAAACATAACACAAATGAATTTCAGATCGAAAACACACCAATCAGTGCCCAGTGGATCTGTGAGCGAGTGTTCTGAGTGGTCCATGGATGGCAATCCAGCTTCCAAACAGTAAGTAAAAATAACTTCACAGCCTCAAATACATTTATTGCGGAGATTAGCTCTCTATGCACCCTGCGATCTATACCATTCAGAGAGCTTAAAACAAAAATGAATTTCAGATCGAAGACACCACAATCAGTGCCTAGTGGATCTGTGAGCGAGTGTTCTGAGTGGTCCATGGATGGCCAACCAACTTTCAAAGAGTGAGTAAAAATAAATTCACTGCCTCAAATTAATTATGGCGACTAACTCTCTTTACACGTTGTGATCCAAAAACCTTTCTCTGAAAAGTAGGTACTTTTCCTCAAGTAAGGTTTTACATGTTTGTGAGACAAGGAAGTCATCAATCGACCTACCTCTTCATTTAAAGGGGACCTATCATGCAAAATGCACTTGTGTACGTCTTTTAAACATGAATATGTGTCCCCGGTGTGTCAGGGAACTCACCAAGTGTCAGAAAACACAACCCTCTCTTTTCCTCCATACCCAAATCTCTAAAAACGGGGCTGCAACGGATCTGATACAGACTGATCCAGATTTGAAAATTCTCTGACGTCTGGAATGAGGAGCTCCGCCTATATGCTCCACCTATATGGCCAACTCTCCACCTATCAGGGGAATGTGGGGTTGGGCCACGGCCGGCCATTGCCGCTCGAAAGCGCTGGAGACGCTGTAGTACATATACCAGGCCTGTAAGTGGCGCTGTAGTCTGCCACAAAAGCAGCGAAGAAGACTTCCCGCGCATGGTTGCCATGGTTGCCCTTCTGTTTATTCTCCGCTGTGGCTCTTTTTCTCCCTCCCCGAGGCAAGCGTTTGCTCCCGCTGCTTTAATTCAATGCAATCCCTCCCCGTCGAGGCAAGCACTGTAATTCGTTAGTTAGTCCACCAGCAGATGACAAACACCCACCTCTCCGCCTCTTCCAAGGAACGAGGGGACCGTGCGACAGAGTTTCAGTTAGATTTTTTTTCGCCGGTCAACATCTCCGTTAAAGTTTAAATCTTCCGGACAAAATTTGAAAAGTGCCGGTCAAAGGTCTTTGTTATTTATTGAGCTTTAAAACAAATGAATAACGACTCTATATAATCATATATAAGAATAAAACACGGAAGACGGAGATCTCTTTTTCTCCCTTTCTTCTGACAGCCCAGCAGCTGATCTCAAAGCACGCTCCCCTCTCCTGCAGGGGGGCGTGGTCAGCTGCACCTCATTTGCATTAAAGCTACGTCACAGAATCAGCCCCCTGCAAAAACAGGGCTGGAAAGAGCAAATAGAGCAAAATGAGGCATGGCTAAAATGCATGATCTGTTTGGTATTTTGAAAAAAAAACTTCGCAGACATGTTTTATATAGGTATGGCCCTACAATATATTATTCAAATACAGCATGATAGGTCCACTTTAAGAAAAGTACAATTTAAATACGTATTGTATGCCTAAATTATTTTTAATTGATGTATTGCCTGTAATTACTGAGTTTTGGTGTTTTGTAATTGGATAACATCTCAGCTTAGTTTTGAATATTCGGCACGAAGACGGAGAACTTTCGGACACACAACTAAAGCATAGACTGAAACCCGCTGTCATGACCCTTCGAATAATGTGCACTACACAGGTAAATGGATATATGTGTCAAGTAGAACACCAAATGTTGTACTTAAAACATAAAACTAAATGTATTTCAGATCGGGGACAGCTCCATCAAAGCCCAGTGGAACTCTGAAGAAGAGTTATGTCCAGTCCATTGATGGCAATTTGGTTTCGAAACAGTAAGTAAACATAACTTCACAGCCTCAAATACATTTATTGTGGAGATTAGCTCTCTATGCACTATGTGATCTATATACCTTTCAGGGTGCAAATACATTTTTTTAGAATTGTTTTTTTTAATACTCTTTATAATTGCTATGAACAAAATCCCAAATTTGGGATAAATAAAGTATATCTTATCTAAACTCACAATAGGTCTATGTACTTTAGCTCAAGTAAAAGTTGTTTTTACTGTTAGTATGACAATGAAGTCTTCAAAGGACATGCCTCTTTCATTTTAGAACAGAAATGTAAACAGTTAAAACAGAAGTGTTTGGTTAGATTCATAAGAAAAATCGTGGTTTGGGTTGAAATGAAAACCAGGTGGCGTCAATATGTTACCTATGTGAAGTAGAATGTGATGTAGTAACCCTTTACTTTTTGTTTCACATTGGACATGGACACCTGTCTTCAGAATCAGAATCAGAATCAGAAATCCTTTATTAGTCCCACAGCGGGAACATTTACATTTTTACAGCAAAAGTGGCATAGAAGCAATGGATACATGTTGCAAGTAGAAAGCTATCTTTGATTGTTAATACACAACACAAATAATTTCAGATCGAAGACACACCAATCAGTGCCCAGTGGATCTGTGAGCGAGTGTTCTGAGTGGTCCATGGATGGCCAACCGACTTTCAAAGAGTGAGTAAAAATAAATTTGCAGCCTCACATTCTTTATGGTGATTAACTCTCTAGACACTTTGTGATCTAAAAACTTTTCCCGTAATTGAAAACTCAAAGTATAGGTACTTTTCCTCAAGGAAGATCTTTACTGTTTGTGAGACGAGAAGTGATCGACATGCCACTTTATTTTTCTAAAAGAACAATAAGATTAAATATTACAAGCTTCAATCTTTTAGATTCTGGTAAAATGTGTAATGACTGTTTTTAGGTATTTTGTAATTGCACTTACCTCACTTTCCATGTGAATAGAGTATTGCGTATCAGTTTAAATTCCTTTGAATTCAAATGTGTGTTTTTCTACATATAAAACATAATCTTGATTAACAGAATACTATGAGAGTTACACTTTAACTCAGACATGACATACAATCAGTGTCAGTTTAACAGCAAATATGACTATTTGCCTTTCAGGGGGACCGTGAAGGGTCTGCAGTCTGTCTTCAATAAGAAGGAATCATCAGGAGTGTCTGCCGACTCAAAGTACAAGACGGACGAGGGCAAAAGGTACAGAACTGTCTCACATGAAAACCTGATTTCTACCAGTAATAATTTGCAAGTAGATAGGAATGCAGTTAAAGCCAAAATGTAAATGTTGAAATTCATTGACTGAATGTGCGTGTCAAGTAGAACGCCAAATGTTGTTGTTAAAACATAAAACTAAATATATTTCAGATCGGGGAAAGCTCCATCAAAGCCCAGTGGAACTCTGAAGAAGAGTTATGTCCAGTCCATTGGTGTCAATCCAGATTTCAAACTGTAAGTCATAGTAATTTCACAGCCTCCATTACATGTATTGTGGAGATTAGCTCTCTATGCACTTTGTGATCAGTATACCTTTCCGGGAGAGTAAAACTCATAGGTCAATGTACTTTTGCCCAAGTAAAAGTAATTTGACTGTTGGTATGACAATGAAGTTATCAGAAGACATGCCTCTTTCATTTTCAAAGAGTAATCGGGTGAAACAGAATTGTCCAGTTAGGTCTATCAGGGTTTTGGTTAAAATTAGAACAAGGCATAGTCATTATGTTACCTATGTGTAGTAATGTGACGTGGTAACCTTTTGACTCTTTGTTTCACATGGGACACGGACACCTGTCTCCTGGATGCATGTTGAAAGTAGAAAGCTATCTTTTATTGTTAAAACATAACACAAATGAATTTCAGATCGAAAACACACCAATCAGTGCCCAGTGGATCTGTGAGCGAGTGTTCTGAGTGGTCCATGGATGGCAATCCAGCTTCCAAACAGTAAGTAAAAATAACTTCACAGCCACACATTCATTATGGTGATTAGCTCTCTTTACACGTTTTGATCTAAAAACCTTTCGGTGAGAACTCAATGTCTGTACTTTTTCCTCAAGTAAGATTGTACATGTTTGTGAGACAAGGAAGACATCAATGGACCTGCCTCTTTATTTTAGAAAAGTCCAATGTGAATTCATATTATATGCCTCAATCATTTAAATTCTTGTATTGCCTGTAATTACTGAGTTTTGGTGTTATAAATGTCAGATCAGCATCAATATTTTACAATTAAAATGCCTTTCAGGGGGAATGTGGAGAGTCTCCAGTCTGGTTTCCATAACAACATATTGTCAGGAGTTTCTGCTGACTCAAAGTCTAAGAAGGACAAGGGCAAAAGGTCCAGAACTTTCTCACAAGAAAACCTAATTATTACTCTTCACAACTTGCAAGTAGATAGGACTGAAGTTATTGCAAAATGTAAATGTTACCATTATCCGACTGAATGTGCGTTTCAAGAAGAAAGCCAAATGTTTTTGTTATAAAACAAAAGAAATAAAACAAAATGTATTTCAGATTGGGGACAGCACCATCAACGCATTTCCAGTCCATTGATGGCAATCCAGCTTCCAAACAGTAAGTAAAATAACTTCACAGCCTCAAATACATTTATTGTGGAGATTAGCTCTCTATGCACCCTGCGATCTATACCATTCAGAGAGCTTAAAACAAAAATGAATTTCAGATCGAAGACACCACAATCAGTGCCCAGTGGATCTGTGAGCGAGTGTTCTGAGTGGTCCACGGATGGCCAACCAACTTTCAAAGAGTGAGTAAAAATAAATTCACTGCCTCAAATTAATTATGGCGACAAACTCTCTTTACACGTTGTGATCTAAAAACCTTTCTCTGAAAAGTAGGTACTTTTCCTCAAGTAAGGTTTTTCATGTTTGTGAGACAAGGAAGTCATCAATAGACCTACCTCTTCATTTAAAGGGGACCTATCATGCAAAATGCACTTTTGTACGTCTTTTATACATGAATATGTGTCCCCGGTGTTCCAGGGAACTCACCAAGTGTCAGAAAACACAACCCTCTCTATTTTCCTCCATACCCAAATCTCTAAAAAAGGGGCTGCAACGGATCTGATAAAAACTGATCCAGATTTGAACACTTTACTGACGTCAGTAAAGTGGCCCTACGGCTATTGGGCCAACTCTCCACCTATCAGGGGAATGTGGGGTTGGGCCACGGCCGGCCATTGCCGCTCGAAAGCGCTGGAGACGCTGTAGTACATATGCCAGGCCTGTAAGTGGCGCTGTAGTCTGCCACAAAAGCAGCGAAGAAGACTTCCCGCCCATAGTTACCATGGTTACCCTTCTGTTTATTCTCCGCTGTGGCTTTTTTTCTCCCTCCCCGAGGCAAGCATTTGCTCCCGCTGCTTTAATTCAATGCAATCCCTCCCCGTCGAGGCAAGCACATTTAGTAATTTCATTAATTTGCTTTAATTTGCTTTTTATATTTTAAGTAGGGCTGTCAGTCGATTAAAATATGTAATCGCGAATTAATTAATAAATTAATCGCACATTTTTTATCTGTTCTAAATGTAACTTAGAGGGATATTTTTCAAGTTTTTAATACTCTTATCAACATATGAGTGGACAAATATGCTTTATATGTTTGTTTATTATCATTTGAACAATGACTAATATTCTCATGAATATTAAACACAACAACCTCTGAACATTACAAATATTCGCCTCAATTCAACCTGGAACCTCTCTCATACAATAATACAATACAAAGTGTGTGTGTGTGTGTGTGTGTGTGTGTGTGTGTGTGTGTGTGTGTGTGTGTGTGTGAGAATGTGGAGACACTGTGATGGATCGTTGGAGCTATGTGCAGCTCAAGCCATATATGCTCGAACGGGAGCTGCCTGGACGCTGCAATCACGTTGCGCGCACTATCCGTGCTGAGTGTGCTGACTTTTCGTACAATGTCCCACTGTCTGGCTTCCTGCATAAAGTCAAGTGCTCGGCGCAGTTGTCGGCGAAATGTCGCTCCTCTGTTTTCATTGAAACAGCTCCTTATATCCGTTAGCGTAGTTAGCTAGCACCAGATGCTAACAACAACAACAACAACAACACGTAAGGTGTGCCTCGCTCGCACCACACATACACACACCCTCCCGGTCCTCCCGATGGCCAGTCCGGGCCTGCCGGTGAGCGTGGAAGTGTGGTCTGCCACAAGCGGGCGGCAGGAGCGGGGCTGTCAGCATCAGCTTGTAGATGGTATTTTAAACTCGATGCGCTCTGAAACTACGGGGCGGCCGAGGACAAAAAATACACATGCGTTAATCGCGTTAAAATAATTAGTGGCGTACATTTTTTTTTAAAGTTTAACGCGTTAACTTGACAGCCCTAATTTGAAGGTTTCCATATTAATTGCAGGGGTTAACATGTTAATGTTCCCAGCCCTAGTTTCCACCTGCACAACATCATCTTTTCAAAAAGTTATGAAATGTCTCAGTGAGTACTTGGATCATCTTAATATAAACTACACTGAATCTTGATAAACAGAATGCCCTGAAAGTTTCACTTAAACTTTGTTCCAAGTGCATGGATGGCCAACCAACTTTCAAAGAGTGAGTAAAAATAAATTCACAGCCTCACATTTGCTTCACACGTTTTGATGAACTCTTCATGTAGTAGGTACTTTTGCTCAAGTAAGGTTTTTGTTCATATGTGTGTTTTTCTACATATAAAACATATTCTTGATAAGCAGAATACTATGAGAGTTCAGTTTAACTCTCAGGCCAGTAACTGGCATGACATACAATAAGTGTCAGTTTAACAGCAAATATTACAATTGTAATGTCTTTCAGGGGGGGCGTGAAGTAAAAGTCAAGTCAGTCAAAGTCAACTTTATTGTCAATCTCAAAATATGTTTGGACACACAGAAAGATCAAAATACTGTTTCCCACAGTCCCGAGATATACAATAACACATTAAAATATAAGAACACTCAATAATTACAAAAAAAACACAAAAATAACCATTTACTTCAAGTAAGCAGGATATATATAAAAAATATGGTGTACATAGTGCAAATGAGAGTGCAAAAATGTGAGTGCAAAAATGTCCATAGCAGTGTAAAAGTGACTGGTGCTGGATTTGTTGATTAACAGAATACTATGAGAGTTACACTTTAACTCAGACATGACATACAATCAGTGTCAGTTTAACAGCAAATATGACTATTTGCCTTTCAGGGGGACCGTGAAGGGTCTGCAGTCTGTCTTCAATAAAAAGGAATCATCAGGAGTGTCTGCTGACTCAAAGTACAAGACGGACGAGGGCAAAAGGTACAGAACTGTCTCACATGAAAACCTGATTTCTACCAGTAATAATTTGCAAGTAGATAGGAATGCAGTTAAAGCCAAAATGTAAATGTTGAAATTCATTGACTGAATGTGCGTGTCAAGTAGAACGCCAAATGTTGTTGTTAAAACATAAAACTAAATATATTTCAGATCGGGGAAAGCTCCATCAAAGCCCAGTGGAACTCTGAAGAAGAGTTATGTCCAGTCCATTGGTGTCAATCCAGATTTCAAACTGTAAGTCATAGTAATTTCACAGCCTCCATTACATGTATTGTGGAGATTAGCTCTCTATGCACTTTGTGATCAATATACATTTCCGTGAGAGTAAAACTCATAGGTCAATGTACTTTTGCCCAAGTAAAAGTAATTTGACTGTTGGTATGACAATGAAGTTATCAGAAGACATGCCTCTTTCATTTTCAAAGAGTAATCGGGTGAAACAGAATTGTCCAGTTAGGTCTATCAGGGTTTTGGTTAAAATTAGAACAAGGCATAGTCATTATGTTACCTATGTGTAGTAATGTGACGTGGTAACCTTTTGACTCTTTGCTTCACATGGGACACGGACACCTGTCTCCTGGATGCATGTTGAAAGTAGAAAGCTATCTTTTATTGTTAAAACATAACACAAATGAATTTCAGATCGAAAACACACCAATCAGTGCCCAGTGGATCTGTGAGCGAGTGTTCTGAGTGGTCCATGGATGGCAATCCAGCTTCCAAACAGTAAGTAAAAATAACTTCACAGCCACACATTCATTATGGTGATTAGCTCTCTTTACACGTTTTGATCTAAAAACCTTTCGGTGAGAACTCAATGTCTGTACTTTTTCCTCAAGTAAGATTGTACATGTTTGTGAGACAAGGAAGACATCAATGGACCTGCCTCTTTATTTTAGAAAAGTCCAATGTGAATTCATATTATATGCCTCAATCATTTAAATTCTTGTATTGCCTGTAATTACTGAGTTTTGGTGTTATAAATGTCAGATCAGCATCAATATTTTACAATTAAAATGCCTTTCAGGGGGAATGTGGAGAGTCTCCAGTCTGGTTTCCATAACAACATATTGTCAGGAGTTTCTGCTGACTCAAAGTCTAAGAAGGACAAGGGCAAAAGGTCCAGAACTTTCTCACAAGAAAACCTAATTATTACTCTTCACAACTTGCAAGTAGATAGGACTGAAGTTATTGCAAAATGTAAATGTTACCATTATCCGACTGAATGTGCGTTTCAAGAAGAAAGCCAAATGTTTTTGTTATAAAACAAAAGAAATAAAACAAAATGTATTTCAGATTGGGGACAGCACCATCAACGCGTTTCCAGTCCATTGATGGCAATCCAGCTTCCAAACAGTAAGTAAAAATAACTTCACAGCCTCAAATACATTTATTGTGGAGATTAGCTCTCTATGCACCCTGCGATCTATACCATTCAGAGAGCTTAAAACAAAAATGAATTTCAGATCGAAGACACCACAATCAGTGCCCAGTGGATCTGTGAGCGAGTGTTCTGAGTGGTCCACGGATGGCCAACCAACTTTCAAAGAGTGAGTAAAAATAAATTCACTGCCTCAAATTAATTATGGCGACAAACTCTCTTTACACGTTGTGATCTAAAAACCTTTCTCTGAAAAGTAGGTACTTTTCCTCAAGTAAGGTTTTTCATGTTTGTGAGACAAGGAAGTCATCAATAGACCTGCCTCTTCATTTAAAGGGGACCTATCATGCAAAATGCACTTTTGTACGTCTTTTATACATGAATATGTGTCCCCGGTGTTCCAGGGAACTCACCAAGTGTCAGAAAACACAACCCTCTCTATTTTCCTCCATACCCAAATCTCTAAAAAAGGGGCTGCAACGGATCTGATAAAAACTGATCCAGATTTGAACACTTTACTGACGTCAGTAAAGTGGCCCTACGGCTATTGGGCCAACTCTCCACCTATCAGGGGAATGTGGGGTTGGGCCACGGCCGGCCATTGCCGCTCGAAAGCGCTGGAGACGCTGTAGTACATATGCCAGGCCTGTAAGTGGCGCTGTAGTCTGCCCACAAAAGCAGCGAAGAAGACTTCCCGCCCATAGTTACCATGGTTACCCTTCTGTTTATTCTCCGCTGTGGCTTTTTTTCTCCCTCCCCGAGGCAAGCGTTTGCTCCCGCTGCTTTAATTCAATGCAATCCCTCCCCGTCGAGGCAAGCACATTTAGTAATTTCATTAATTTGCTTTAATTTGCTTTTATATTTTAAGTAGGGCTGTCAGTCGATTAAAATATGTAATCGCGAATTAATTAATAAATTAATCGCACATTTTTTATCTGTTCTAAATGTAACTTAGAGGGATATTTTTCAAGTTTTTAATACTCTTATCAACATATGAGTGGACAAATATGCTTTATATGTTTGTTTATTATCATTTGAACAATGACTAATATTCTCATGAATATTAAACACAACAACCTCTGAACATTACAAATATTCGCCTCAATTCAACCTGGAACCTCTCTCATACAATAATACAATACAAAGTGTGTGTGTGTGTGTGTGTGTGTGTGTGTGTGTGTGTGTGTGTGTGTGTGTGTGTGTGTGTGTGTGTGTGTGTGTGTGTGTGTGTGTGTGTGTGTGAGAATGTGGAGACACTGTGATGGATCGTTGGAGCTATGTGCAGCTCAAGCCATATATGCTCGAACGGGAGCTGCCTGGACGCTGCAATCACGTTGCGCGCACTATCCGTGCTGAGTGTGCTGACTTTTCGTACAATGTCCCACTGTCTGGCTTCCTGCATAAAGTCAAGTGCTCGGCGCAGTTGTCGGCGAAATGTCGCTCCTCTGTTTTCATTGAAACAGCTCCTTATATCCGTTAGCGTAGTTAGCTAGCACCAGATGCTAACAACAACAACAACAACACGTAAGGTGTGCCTCGGTCGCTCCACACATACACACACCCTCCCGGTCCTCCCGATGGCCAGTCCGGGCCTGCCGGTGAGCGTGGAAGTGTGGTCTGCCACAAGCGGGCGGCAGGAACTCTGAAACTACGGGGCGGCCGAGGACAAAAAATACACATGCGTTAATCGCGTTAAAATAATTAGTGGCGTACATTTTTTTTTAAAGTTTAACGCGTTAACTTGACAGCCCTAATTTGAAGGTTTCCATATTAATTGCAGGGGTTAACATGTTAATGTTCCCAGCCCTAGTTTCCACCTGCACAACATCATCTTTTCAAAAAGTTATGAAATGTCTCAGTGAGTACTTGGATCATCTTAATATAAACTACACTGAATCTTGATAAACAGAATGCCCTGGAAGTTTCACTTAAACTTTGTTCCAAGTGCATGGATGGCCAACCAACTTTCAAAGAGTGAGTAAAAATAAATTCACAGCCTCACATTTGCTTCACACGTTTTGATGAACTCTTCATGTAGTAGGTACTTTTGCTCAAGTAAGGTTTTTGTTCATATGTGTGTTTTTCTACATATAAAACATATTCTTGATAAGCAGAATACTATGAGAGTTCAGTTTAACTCTCAGGCCAGTAACTGGCATGACATACAATAAGTGTCAGTTTAACAGCAAATATTACAATTGTAATGTCTTTCAGGGGGGGCGTGAAGTAAAAGTCAAGTCAGTCAAAGTCAACTTTATTGTCAATCTCAAAATATGTTTGTACACACAGAAAGATCAAAATACTGTTTCCCACAGTCCCGAGATATACAATAACACATTAAAATATAAGAACACTCAATAATTACAAAAAAAAACACAAAAATAACCGTTTACTTCAAGTAAGCAGGATATATATAAAAAATATGGTGTACATAGTGCAAATGAGAGTGCAAAAATGTGAGTGCAAAAATGTCCATAGCAGTGTAAAAGTGACTGGTGCTGGATTTGTTGTGTCTGTGTGTGTGGGGGGGTGTTAAAGTCCTGGTCCAGTGTGGGCAGGGTGGAGAGGTGGGAGAGAGGGGAAGAGTCTACTGTCTGTCTTCCATAAAAAAGAATTGTCAGGAGTGTCTGCTGACTCCACGTACAAGAAGGAGGAGGGCAAAATGTACAGAACTGTCACAAGACATTTTGATTTCAACTATTAGTAATTTGCAAGTTAACAGGGCAAGGCATATTTAAAAGTTGAAATCATGTGATTAAATGTGTCAAAAAGAAACTACTAGAAACGTTTATTTGATGTGGATTTTGGTAGCCCCTACCAACCAAAGCGGGAGTTTTGCAGTTAACAGTAAGCCATTCTTTCCTTCTATCCCAGATCCTACCGCAAGTTCCAGGTACCGAAACACATTGAAGTCATGCACACTCAAAAGCTCATCAATGTGTGTGACAAAGCCGAGGGGAATAGCTTCGACAGGAGTACTCAGATGCAGATCTGCAGCTTGAATGCAACGGTGAACATAACACGTGTAAATGAGGCAAAAATATCCTGTAATCGTGAAATGCTGCAATTTTTTATTAACACTATTTTATTTTACAGATATCTCGTGGTAAGGAACGCCGAAACTCTGCACAATCTACAGGTGAGTAAATACTACAGAAGTAAACACTAGTACCTTTGTCTTTTACAAAAATCTTCCATTTTATTTTGAAATGTACTGCACCTGGAAAAAAACGAAACAGTTTTGTGCTGAATGTTGTGGATAGATTTTATGATAGGTTTGACAAAGGGTAAGGCAAAGGTATAAACCATAACATGTTGTGCTCTTGACATTATTTCTATATCTTGTTATTTTCCACCCAAAATGTTCACATCTTTACAAAAAATAAAGATTATTATTAAATTACTAAACATAGAACTTGGGTTACAATACTTAACCTTATTCCAGTTATAACTCACACAGACGCCACCCTCTAATGGGTACAGTGGGCGGAGCCCCAACAAATGTACGCCCACCTCAAAACATGGACCCACCATACTCATCCTGACCAGCGCTATTTCATTGATCAATTACTCCAGCGTGTCTGTCATGCAGCAGCGAAGGTACAGGCTGTCTGCAGAAGGCTGTATGCGCCAGTATAAAATGTCTCTGACCCCTCAGAAAAATCCCCTAGCCCTGCAATCGGGGCTCTCATCTTCTGGTATTTTTTGCCAGGACACCTTGATACACTTGTCGAGGAGCAAAGGCAAAACCAAAGCAGGTTGAGCAAGGCGAGCAGGGCCGTGAAAACCTTACCTGCTTTACAAACCTCAGGAAGTTATCCCACAGATTTTTGGCTGGGACGCAGAGATAAGGTTCTTGCAGTGGTGACGCCATCCTCTATCAAGAGTAAAAGGAAAGCGGCAAAGCTGCCATATTGGATGGTCTTTATGTATGTGGGTAGGCTTGTCCTGACTGGCAGGCTACGTTTATGCAAATGTGAGGGACCGAATGCGTGCGTGTGATGGGAGAAGAGTATTTCCCATAGAGTCTAGCAGAGGATGGAGCCTGTGTGAGTTAAAAATGTTTCACAGTTTATCATGTTTGGATATAAGGTGTAACATGAATCACACAAACTATTTCTTGTGCTTTCTTATGATTGCCAGTGGTGCCCCCTCCTGGTAAAATAGAGTTCCAGCCAGTGACAACAGACTCTGTGATCCTGAGCTGGGGAGTGCCAAAGGGACTGAAGGGGCCCAAGATCTTCAGAGTAATCTGGAGTAAAGGGGGTTGGAGCAATGCTAGAAAACTGGAGGGTTACAAGGTCGTCAAAGATAATAATCAAGTTGTAATAAACGATCTTGAACTTGGACAGCAATATTTATTCAGTGTGGCCACAGAAGACAAGGATGGTAATTTAAGTGAATCGGTCCAGGAATTTCTTTCCACAGAATATAGAGAAGGTAAGACATTTCATATTTATTTCATGTAATGTGTGCATATTACCATTTTATTTACTAATTTACTGTCAAATTATGGCTTTCTTGCAGCAGTGCCATTCCCTCGACACCCAACAGCAAAAGTACATATAGATGCAACGGCTGTGTCCTTGAAACGGAGTCAAGGCAAAGAGATGCAAGCGATACGCACAGAAGAGTACTCAGATTTAGAGCCAGAGACAGAATACATCACAAATGTTAGGTCCAGTGAGCCGAACACAGGTAAGAGTTTTAAAGAACAGATTGCAACATGCCAACCGTTGTCATCCATACTGCTGACTTTTCATAATTTATATACAAATACATATATATATATATATATATATATATATATATATTTATATAATATATTTCAATAAATGAGAATAATATATTTTATATTGTATTTGAAAATATACTTTCATTATACAAGAAAAAGTAGGTTTTGAATAAGTACAAGTGAGCACAGTTTTTGTCAAATTTGACCAACTTTACTTATTAATAATGCTTCCTATTTGTGTTTCTATAATTTTTTTACTTTTCTCTATTGTAAGCAAAGTATATACCTCATTGCTTTCCTGAGTAAAAATAAAGGTCATAGGAAAAGAGTGGAATCTAATGACGGGCACAGTGTTACATATAAAACATATGTTTATATGGCACTTAATGATATGGGCATAGAAGTAAGCATTGTTATTGGGTGGAATGCAATACAAAAATCCTTCATTTGGTAAAGCATTAACTGATCTGAAAAAAACCTAAAGAGTTCCGTGCAAGGTGTGGCCGAAAGTTTTGTCTCAAAGAAAAGAGTTTATGACGGGGCAGGGCAAAGGTATTAACCATCAAATGTTTTATGTTTTGTTGTAATGTGTGTTGTGCTGTTTATCTTGGTATTATTCACAACATATTTGTATACCTCCAGAGCCACTTAGTAAAAAAAACAGACTCTAATAACCTGTGGATTATATTGCTGGTGAATGATTCACTTTTACTGTAAACTGGTGATAAGGGCCGGCTGTGACTCAGTAGGTAGAGAGGGTCCTTATAAGTACATGAGAGGTTCACTCACATAAAATTACTCCTGAAGGTGTGTCTGGATGGGTAAAGGTTGGAATGTAGTGTAGATTTAAGTAAGTAAAGTACAATTATGAAAATAAAATGATACAGGAATACAAGCTTTCTGAGGAATATGCTTGAGAAGATGATGTTTAAAAAGCAGCGATAGATTAGCAAACTTCCAGAGTTGGGGAAGCCAAGCATTAAAAAACATTGAGTGAAATTGTAAGGAGGGGGGAGGGGTATACTTTATGGAGAGTGCAAGGGTTCTTTTAAATCAGGTAGAGAGCAAAACTGGGTAATCAAGGAGCCAATTACTAAAGTTTAAGTTTTTAACAAAATCATGTATTCAGGAGCACATACAAACTTTACTAAGAAACAAAAATCAGAGCTGTCTAAAATACAATTTCCTGCTGTGTTCTGCTGTGTTCTGCTGTGTTCTGCCTCCCTCAGTCTCTCCCAGTCTCAGTCAGTCTCAATCAGCATGGCAGAAGGGGTTAAAATCCAATCCAAACATTTCAAAAATAAAAGCATGCAGCAGGAAGTAAAACCAGTTAAAAAGCAAACACATTTCAGAGTAAAAGCACACAATAAAAAAGGTACCTGTTAAGCCCGATTTCCCCCGCCGACGGGGGCAAACACAGAAATATTCACAAAACTGTGTCTCAGGGCTTCTTAACATTTAACAACCTTTTAATGTGTCATACATAACATTTATGGCAATAAACTTATTTTTCATTAAAGTGTAACGGAGCTTTTGCTTTTGGGAAAACTGCGTGTGCATCACTCTCATTCCTCAATGGTAATGTTTAGATGGATTTAGGAACCCCCCCTAGATTTTATTGGCTCTAATGGTTCAAAAGAGGTGTCAATCATCAAAATCGACCAATGGGTTCCAGAGATACGGCGAATACACCCAAATGCACCCAGAGGTGGGTTTTCTTTTCTAAACCTCTCTAAAAAGGTCAAATTTCACTTGTTTTGTATCAATCTTGATACAGGGTACTTATTATATGTTATAGTTTGGATTCCTAAAGGTTTTTGTCTACTATCCCATCATTCAAGGGTGGTTTTCACTATAAGTAATGGGGTTTTTTTGAACGGAAACTATAATTTACATTTTTTTACTATGTTCAATCGGAATTTACTTTAAAATAAAAAAATAGGCTCAGGGCTTAACAGGTTAATTGTTCATTATTGCATGGTTTTTAACCTGTTAAGCCCTGAGCCTGTTTTTCAGGTCTCAGGCTCGAAAATGACATTCCCAGAACAAATGACCATATCTTCACTTCTAAAAGGGTTAAATTAATAATCTTTTTTCTCAAAGTAATGATAAACCTGTGAGTTGGATGTAGAAAAGTCAGATTCAATATAGATGTTTTTTATTTTAAAGAAAATTCAGATTTTACATAGTAAAAAACTGTAAATTATAGTGTCCGTCCAAAAATTCTTTTTTACTTATAGTGAAAACTACCCTTGGATGATGGTAAGGTAGACTACAAGCTGTAGGAATCCAAAGTACAACATATAATAAGTACCCTGTATCAAGATTGATGCAAAACAAAACAAGTGACATTTAACCTTTTTAGAGAGATTTAGCAAAAAGAAACCACTTCTGGGGTCATTTGGGTGGATTTTCTATATCTCTGGCCTCCCTTGCTCGATTTTGATGGTTGACACCTCTTTCTGACCGTTAGAGCCAATAGAATCGAAGGGGGAGTCCCCCACACACACTCATTGTGAAAAGAAAAGGTGGGGGCTTCGCGCATGCAGTTTTGCATTAGAGTGAAGCTACATTCTAGCTCTGACACCTAGAAACGGAATAGCATGGATTATCCGTTGTATTGGTCATGGATTATCCTTTATTAAGGGACACAGACACATTGGATTAACCTATGGATTAACTTCAGCAGCGTTTTTATCATTTTAATGCCATTGAAGACCACTTTGGAGAGACTACAGAGCCAAGGTAAAAATGTTAGCATATTTAGCTACCTAGCGTCACCTGTTTTGATGTCCGTTTTTGCTTTTAACGTCGCCATTTCGTATAATTCAGTGGTAATGTGGGTGATATGGTGAAAAGATAAATAATAAGGTTTTGTGAGTGATTTTCGGTGCAGTAAAGTGTTAGCATTTTTCGCTCGTTGCTAATTCAGAGGCTCAGTGTTAGCATTGTGGGTTTTCTTATGAAAACAAAAAAAAAATGATGTTAGATGAGTTTCTTCCCGTTACATGGATATAAAACATTCATAGTTGTATTAAATGAACATGCCCTCAGACACTGTTTCCTGCAAGATGTTGCGGCAGTGTCCCGGTACCGGGGTCTCTCGGGCTTAACAGGTTAAAAATACATTGCCATGTGACAAAAGTCTTCCTGTGACAAAAAGTTTTACAACATGATGTTTGGGTATAAGGTCTATCATGACATGTTCACTAATGACTCCTTTTACTCTCTTGTCTTTGCCAGTGGTGCCCCCTCCTGGTAAGATAACGTTTTCTTCAGTGGAAATAAACTCTCTGGTCCTGAGCTGGGAACTGCCGAAGGGACTAAAGGGGCCTAAAAACTTCATAGTAAAGTGGACTAAAGGAGAGTGGATCCACGGAAGAGAGCTGGAAGGTTACTCTGTCGTCAAAGATGCTCATCAATTTGAAATAAACGACCTTGAGCTTGGACAGCGGTATATATTCAGTGTGGCCACAGACAAGGATGGTAATTTAAGTGAATGGGTTGAGAACTTTGTTTTCACAGGTAAACATTTGAGATGACAACCCATTAAATATCTTTACACTGGAGTGTGTGCATGAAAAATAATGTATTTTCAAATGACTACTCTGTTACAGCGGTGCCAGCCCCTCGGCTCTTAACCAAAACACATTCAGAGGCCAGCGCCGTGACCTTGAAATGGACCAAAGGGGAAAACATGGAGGGAATTAAACATCAGTTCATTATAACCCTCAAAAGTCAGGGAAAAGAGGCACTAGCGATACATACAAAAGAGTGCTTCAAGACAATCTCTAATTTAGAGCCAGGGACGGAATACACCATCGAAGTCTCAACAATGCTGATCGACAGGTGCAGTGAGCCTGTCTCTACAACGATACTCACAGGTGAGGGCTTATATCCCCTGCTTTTTATTTTAAAATCACACTGCTCATACTAACATGCTAACTTTTCATAAGTGCAAGAGAATTATATGAGAGAGAGTGGGGGAGAATAAACAAAAGGTGTTTAAGAATAAAACACATTTTGAATTAGAATAAATTGCTCGATCCATGGATAAGTTCTGAGACTAACTGATCTTAATAAATATTTAGTCAAAGTTTGTATGGAATTCCCCTTTAACTAATAGATATAGAACAAAATGTGACATCCTCATTCATCTATCTCTTCATGTTGATCCACAGAGGCCTGTTTCAGGAAGGTGCTGTCAAAGATGGGCCTTGAAGACTATTATGATGACAAGCTCACACTAAGCACTGTTCTTGAGATCAATCAAAGTGATACATCAGAGAGCAAACTTGAAAGCCCAAAGTCATATCCTGAGGCTTTTTTGAGGAAACTCATGATGTTAAACGCAAATGCTCGAAGTGTTAAATGTGTGTCCAAAGATGTTGACACAGACAAGCAAAACACCATCAATCCGTTGGACCTGATAACTGCGTTGTTTCTCTGTTCCGACGGATTTCTTCAACAAGACATGGTTGTGAAAATGGCACTGTGCCAGTTCGCGGTCCCGCTCCTCATGCCCAACCATGACACAAGAGAAATCACCATGATGCTGTGGGCTATGCGCGAAATAGTTCGGACCTTCAGCCCCTCCAAACTGGCATTCAGAAACTTAAGCTGTGAAGAAAGAATTGTGCTCACTGATATTCCTCTGCTGTCGTTCGTCAGGCTGGGGAGGACGAGCCTGTCCAAATCTCAGGTGCTGAACAAACTGCTCAGCAACACTAAGGAGTGTTATGATATATTTTATAATCGTAACATGGAGGGTGGTGATGTACCCAGGCAGATTTCTGAGGGGCTAGTTGAAATGACCTGGTACCTCCCGTGTGGGAAAAAGAACACAGACAAATTCACTGAGCCGCTGGCCGTCGCCAACCTCAGAGGAGACATCAGGGACTTCGACAAGCAGTTCTCATTCCTCTGCCAGACCTCTGCAGCTGTGTACATCTTCTGTGATGAGTCAGAAATGGATTACTTCAAGCATTTGGAAGGGATGGTTGTGGAAGCCAGGTTGCTTTTGATAAGCAGCATACAGGGGAAAAGCTTCACACTCAAAACGATGACAATCAAACCTAGTTTAAAGACAACTACTGTGAGCCAGAGGAAAAATACGGAGTCAGAACTGGTAAAGGCCCTCCAGGAATCAATCCCTAAGATGCTTGGAAACTGCCCAGTCAAAGTGTCAATGGAAAATTTGGCAGACACAGCTCGCCGCTGTGATATCTTGGTTGATGAGGACATTGATGAATGCCAGGGTGTTAGGAAGAATGCAGATAACATCATCCAACACATCGCTAACACCTCTATGTTCAAAGAAAAACAACTACCTTCCCAGGGACACATCTGGAAAGAGCTTTCATTGCTCGAAACGGAGTACTGGAGACTGCGAAACGCTGGCAATGAAAACATTGAGGACTACCGCAAGTCTTTGAAAATAACAGAAAAAGATCTTAAAACTCACCAGCAAAGATTAGAGATAAGCTCTGCAATGCTTAGATTCTTTCAAGGGGTGGCCTCAGAAGTGCAACGCTACTATTTCCTCAAATGGCTGGAAATGGATTTGGACAATCTGTCCCGAAATGAACTGTCAGATCTGAAAGATAGATATAAAGAGCTAAGGGAAAAATGTCCTGAAGACACAGAAAAGATTGCAGAGATTGATCAGAAAATATCAGCTTGTTCTTTACGCCTTGAGCACTTTTTCCGAGAGTGTGGCCAGCTGTTCCAATGTGTGAATCACCTGCCAGAATTCAGCAGTCAAAGAAAGACCTTGGAACAACTTCCTGAACTCTGTGCTCAGATGCTGCTAGATGGTTTCCCTCTTGAGCTCGTTGATGGAGATGTTGCAAACATTCCGTTGAAATGGATCACTGAGGTGCTAAGGGAGCTTCACAAGTCTATGCATTCCAAAAGTAAGCTGAAAGTCATCACAATCATTGGAGCTGAGAACTCAGGAAAATCGACTCTGCTAAACACCATGTTTGGGGTCAGGTTTGCAGTCAGCAAAGGCACATGCACCAGAGGGGCGTTCATCCACCTGATCAATGTCAACGAACACGTCAGGAGGAAACTGGAGTGCGACTGCATCATGATAATTGACACAGAGGGACTGAAACCACATCAGATTGTCCAAGATGATCACAGCCATGAACGTGACATAGAAGTAGCGAGCCTCGCTGTAGCACTTAGTGACGCCACAATCGTCAGTGTTTCCATTGACAACTCAAAAGAGAAAGATCTCTTAGAAATGGTGCTTCATGCTTTCACGAGGTTGAAGAATGTGGGCAAGAAGCCACTCTGTCATTTTGTGCACACCAACATGTCAGAAAGTCCTGCTGTAGAGAGGAAGAAGAGAGGTAAAGAGTTGGTGAAACAGCTCAATGAAGTGATCCGAAAGGACACTAGGATGAGGAAGGCCAAAATCACTAAGTGCTCAGATGTGATGGAGTTTGATCAAGACACTTTCAGTTGGTACATGCCTCCGGTTTGGAACGGGACTCCACCTATGGCACCTTTCAGTGTTGACTACAGTGAGACGGCACATGCTTTGAAAAAGAGACTCATAGGGGACCTCAAAAAGTGCCAGGGAAGAGGTGATCTGATGCAATTTATCAGCGATGTGGATAGATTCTGGAAAGGTTTGTGAGGCAGGAAAAGATGGCAAAGGGAAAATGCAGTTATTTCCCTGGAGCATGTTTTAATTTTATTTAAAAAAAAAGAGAAAATAAAAGATTACTGAGCAATATAAACTAATTTATTGTCACTCTTATTCATTGTTAATACATTAAAATGTATAATGCATTTCTTAAAATATCTGACACTGTACAAACATTAAACATGTATATAGTTGCAGAAAATAAGCAAGTACTACTTTGTGACATTCTGTATATTCATTTTCGCCTGAACAAAGAAACAGGACCTGTGACAGGTGTGTAGACCAAAAAGAACAATCCTGTTATTGTTATCAAATTTGTATCAAAAAGATAGTTGACACTGAATATACAACATCTGCAAGATTTATTTGCAGATATAGGTTGTATCGTATCAAAAGTCCTGAATAAAAGTTTTACTATGTATTTTTGAGGCTGTTTGTGCAATAAAAGTGTATAAATAATCCAATGTCACTTTTGCCTTCTACACTACAATATTCAACAGTAATGACAGTCACAATGTTATGAATGGAAGAGCTTAGATAGTACATTTGTGATAAGTGATAATAAATACTTAAGATTCACGCAGGTTATATAGTAAACTGCATGTTTAAAGGGCCAGTTCACCCAAATTACAAAAAGAAAACATCCTCGAAAATCTCAACAGGCCAACTGAACACCTAAAGTAACTTCTCTTCTAATTTTAACTTGATTGATTGAATACTGTGTGTAAACTGACAAATCAGGTAACTTCTCTTATGTACTGCAAACCAAATTGTTGCTCGTATGGTATTCACAGTTCAAATACATTCAAATTTAAATCCACTTCTAAAGAGAAGCTTTGAGCAACCATCTGCTGAATTATCACTTTACAATCTCTTAGTACATGTTAAATAAATTATACATTATTACATTCATACAACAGTTACACATCAAATGCATTCTCTTATACTTGAGAGATGTTGAATTAACGGAAAACTACAAACACCAATAAGATTATTGTACATCATGAAGAATTAAACGGTGTGCAGTCCGGTCCATGTTGGTGCAGTAGCGCAATAGTTTGGTGAAGAGTCAGCGAGACATCATTCGCACAAACTCTGTGGAAAAAAAGGTGTGGTGTTATTGTTGAAGGGAAGGGAGTATGGCTTTTAAATACATACTTTCTTCAATACTCCATTTCTGTATTTAGTTAGCCTGAATACCAAAGCAAATTCGTGAACATACTTGGCCATAAACTTGATTCTAAATCTGATCTTATTAGCCTGATTGAAAAACAAGCTGAGTGGTGAGTACCACATAAAACAATTTTTTTCCCTTTTATATTTTTCTTTCTGAAATCACATACCTTCGAAGTCCACCTCTCCGTCCCCATTGAGGTCAACATCTCGCAGGATCTCGTCTATCTCGCGGTGGTTCAGCTGCTCCCCCATTAGCTTTTTCATGGCTTCCCTCAGCTCTCCGAGGCTGATCTGACCATCACCATCAGAGTCAAACTGGGAAATAAAAAAAAGGAGTATGAAACATTGAAAGCACATACAAATAAATGCATTACAGTTGAAACAAGTTAAAGTTTGTGAAAGGGGGTGATCTTTTTGTTACAAATTGTCTGGCAGACCTCTTTGAAGGCATCCCTCAGCTCCTTGACTCCAATCATGTCTGCTGTCTCAGCGAGCATTTTAGGACCCATCAGTTCCACAAAGTCTTCGAAGTCCACTCTGCCGCCACCTTAGGGGGTAGAAAACAAGTAGGCAAGAAATGTTCAGGCTTTTCTCATTCACTGTAGGGAAATATACCTACAAAATAAAGGCACTTTATTTATTGCAACTCACGTAATCAATTTGTAACCCACATGTCAATACAAAAGTCAAGTTACGTAGTATAGAGAGCAACAAGGATCGCAAGAAAAATGCAGGTATGGACATGATAAAAAAAAAACCTGACTTTCAGCCAGGAGTCTGACTGTTTAGTACCTTAGTTAAGTATTGTGTGGCAGTGTTGGGCCGTCAGCGCCAGCAAGGCCTATACACTATCAGAATCACTGACTAACCTTTTAATATAATATTTTAATTAACCAGTGGCGAGCCGTGACTTTTATACCTAGGCCCTCTGACCCCCACCTTCCCTCAAAAAAAATAAAATAAAAGAGTTATTACGTCACAACGTATACTTCAGCGGAATAACAAAACAACGGCCCGGGGTGCAAAACGCATCAATGACAGCAACCCTTTACCACACAAAACAACACCTGTAAATAACCCAATTTGTGTTCTTTGAAATTGAAAAGGATATTGCATTGTGTTTGTTACTTTCGTTGCAGTTGTTTATATGTCTTAAAGGTGGGGTAGGTAATTCACTTCAGAAACACTTTTTGTTATATTCCATGGAATGCTCTTAACATCCCGATAGCAATGAATACATTAAATGCTTTGACAATAAATACATAAAAAAATGTCATCTGTGGAAGCCGTGGCGCTTTAAAAAGCACGACCAATTATTTTAGCCGGCCCGGCTCAAATAACTGGATGGCCTACCTGCCTGTCAGCCTTCCATCTCGTGCACAAACTTATCTCGTGCCCTCATTAGTCATGTGCGCGTTCGTGTGTGTTGGAGGAGGGGCTCTGTAAGGAAGTCTGAAGGAAGGGGAAGATTTTTTTCGGCTGCGTACTTTCAAATTCTAGCGCACTCGAGCTGGTTTCTCCATTCTTACCTACCCTACCTTTAAGTGTAATTTGGCTTGGCTTCCTATTTTTGTATGGACATGCTTTTATTTTTAAGGCGAGTTTGTTGTTTCTGTTGACAGGAAGTTGTTGTTGCTATGGAAACAACGTCACGGAGAAAAGCTTCACAGCGGGCGGAACTTGTCATAAAGTCCGCGATAATAAAACCCACTCATTTAGAGGGCAGATATGATTGGTCAATTGTACTGTCATTTGACATTACTCTCTCGTTGAGTTACTATAGATGGCCCTCTGTGAATTCATAGCTGGACCACCAATCAGCTCCTGTATTCACAGTAACTCGCAGAGATGAGCTTCTTTAATTTAACCATTCACATTCCAACAGAAACTGAATAGGCAGATTTGAAGGATTTATTTCTTTGGGAATGTTATTTTAAATACAATTAAATCAAGTTATTTTGGTAAAACTAATGAAAAATATAACTAAAAAAATATTTAAAAAATATATATTAAAAAGAATATTATTTTTTTTAATGTTTTTAAATATAATTTTGTAGAATATCTTAGGCCCTCACGTTCGCCATTCACGTTCGCCATTCCAGCGGGGCAGATGGAGGAGGATGGCGAGGACTTCTCGTTGGCGGGCACTTCTGGGTCCGGCGTCCATGGAAGTCCACCGCCCAGGTCTGTCCGCCAGGACTTCCCCCTGGTGATGACCATGGCGGCGGAGTGTGTAGTGCTACCACTCCCCCCACCACTGCCGCCGAAACCGGTGAGCCGCCTCCGCCAGGGGTTCTACGGCCTGGTCCGCTCGGCGCAGCCAGCCTTCGTTTCACCCCCGTTGCCAGATCTGGCAGTGTGTGGAGGCGTCGTGGCGACAGCCACTGAAGGCGAAGGCTCCAGTGGCTGGTATGGTGGGGATCCTCAGGGTGCAGGGCCGCACGGACACAGCATGTCCCGGCGTGCCCCCCCTTGATGAGAGCCTGGCAGCCCATCTGCTCCCACAGGCAGCAGGCTGGGCGGAGAACCTCTGCCCCGCTGCCGCGTGACATAATAGCTCCGATTAATGCAGTTCACCGTTAATGTGAAACACAGCGTTAATACGAAGGCCCCGAGAGAGTGGCCGCGGTGCGTTCAAGGACCTCCACAGAAAATCGGCCTTTTTCATGTCGGTTCCCCATAAGCCAATCTTCCTTTCATGGAAGGTTTGGCGAAGGAGAGGGCCACCAGAGAGTACCACAGCTTCTTAGCTGCGGCTCCACAGCTCTTTGCGTGTCCCCTAAAACACAGTTTTATGGGGAATGGAAGCTCAGCTGTGTACTGACAGAATGGCTGGACAGGATGCTGCGACTGGGTTACTCACTCCAGTTCTGCAGCGAACTCCATTCAGGGGTGTAAGAGAGGCAAATCTATCATCCCAGGAGGAGATAGGTTTCTTTTCAACAGAAATTCAGGCCCTGTTGCAAGAACGGTGGGTTACGTATTGTAACCCTAGTTCTAGATTGATGTGTGTGTGAAAAATGCATTCAATAAAAACGATTGCATTTATCCCAGAGTAAGAGTCATCTCTCTCCACAATTCCACATTTCCCCATAATGTCTAGTTGAAATCGGCAAGATCCGTTTCATACGATGTTAACTGGGCACCCATTATGAGACACGATTCCCCACTCGCCGCCCCAGTTGTAAACTCCAGTAAAGGAGGCAGCTAGTGGGCGCGCGCATGTGAGTGTGATAAACCGCAGGAAGTGCTGTCAAAGCGCTATGCGGGTGCAGGAACATTATGGCCGGCGTGTTGTCAGAAAACACACCTCGCCTAGTGTGATAGCTCTGATTAATGCATTTCACCGTCTGTGTGAAGACGGCATTATGACGGAGCGCGCGGCCCCGCGAGAGCGTGCCGGCCACCAGAGAGTACCACAGCTTCTTAGCTGCGGCTCCACAGCTGCTTGCATGTCCCCTAACACAGTTTTATGGGGAATGGAAGCTCAGCTGTGTACTGACAGAGTGGATGGACAGGACACTGAAACTGGGTTACTCACTCCAGTTTTTCAGCGTCCCTCCTCCATTCAGGGGCATAAGAGAGGCAAATCTATCATCCCAGGAGGAGATAGGTTTCCTTTCAACAGAGATTCAGGCCCTGTTGCAAAAACAGGCTGTGTCTGTTGTGCACTCTCAGGACAGAGAAAAGGGGCTTTACTCTATGTACTTCCTGGTTTCCAAGAAGACAGGAGAATTCAGACCCATTCTGGATCTTCGCATCCTGAATCAGCACATTAGGTGCGTTCACACCGGAGTACTTTGGTGTACTTTTCCCACAATAGTTCATCAGAACTACGATATATTTGCGTTCACACCAAAAAGCCCCAGGAACTAAAGTAGCTCAATTTAGTTCGTCCGACCCGCTTTTCAGTCCCTGCTAGAGAGCAGGGACTGTCGTGGGAGAAAGTAGTTTGTACGTCTGATTGGCTGTGCGGAATGCAAACCACGCCCGTTTGACTCTGAATTTTTTGTTGTAAGCGGCCATTGTATTTGCTCGCTTCGGGCAGCGCACCCAAAGACATTCCTTTTGTGAAAGCAGTTATTATAGCAACACTAAATAAATCAATTGGAGCGGTGGAGTGATGAGGATGTGTCTGCGCTTCTGGCGATTTACTCGGAGGACGCATTCAGAAGCTTCTACTGAATGCAGTTTCCGTGGCTCGATCAGCAAAGTTAGCAGACCTGGCAAAGTAATGTCGGGACGGCTACGAAGGTAAAATAAAATACATGCACTGCACTGTTTTAATCTGCACAATACTGGTCTTAGATGTACTTTTATTTGCTCAGTAGATCGAGCTAGCCATGCTAGAACTTGCTATAATAGGTCCAAGCTGGCTAACAACATCTAGCTAGCTAGCTATTCTCAGCCGTCCCCGCTATGAACACGTTTTGACTTGTGAATAAGTGTGCAATGTTCTGTAATTTGCTTCACTAACTCATGGCACTACTCGTGTGTTTCAGGCGAGGTGTTTCTCTCAGGATTAGAAACTAGTTTTCCCCTCCGGGATAAAACGATAATATAACGTTAGCAATTAGCATGCTAGCTGGACATAATGCTACCTAGTTGCTATAATTTCAAGTCATTTGCAACATTCATTCTACATGTTAATGGTACAAGCTTAAACAGTTCATTACCTGCATGCCACAAAGACTGATGTTCTAATATTTTTGCACATTTAAGTAGAAATGTAATTGAAATTCTATTTATTTTTCCTTTTTTTTATTGATTGTTATAATTGTACTCAGCCATGTTATGTTAGATGTCAATCCACTTACACTGTAACTACTCTGGCCTTGAAAGAAGGTTACACATCTAACTGATGTCCACGAATCCCTATAAAACAAAGTTCAAGCATACATTAAGCACAAAACAATAAATAAGGGCACTTTGATATTTATTTTTTATTTGATATTATTTGATCCTATCTTATACTTTACACCTGCATTTTGTACACTGTTCCTGCCTGCACCATGTCCAATGTTGGACAATGTTGTCTCGTTGTTGCGATTAAACTGATCTTGTATCTTGCATATTTCACCTTAGGAAAGTGGGCACGCGATGACAGCTTCCTTGACACCATCATGACGATGGACCGCCGTGCCATGGTCAGCAAGGAGAATGAGGACCTGCGTGCCAAGGAGATGCACGACGAACGGCTGCTGCATTCACACAAGGCCCAGGAATCGAGGTGGAGCAACAAAATACCTTTCAGGCTGGGCTTCTGGCAGTGCTAAGCGAGCTGATTAAATCCAACAGGCCTTCAATACAAAAATTAAGAAAAACTTGTCGTCGTTGATAAACTGTACAATGACTTGTTGGGAGGCGTGTGGTGCAGTGGTCTGGTGCGTTGGTGTTCGGATCAGGGGAGCACAGGTTCAAACCCCACTGCAGTCAGGATGTCGTTGTGTCCCTGGGCAAGACACTTCACCCCAAATTGCCTACACCTGGGAGAGTTAATTTTGTATTATTGTGATTATATATATATATGCCACTGTTATTAATACT